GACAAATATAAATTTCGTACGATTTATAATACGCGTTGGATACATTGGATTCAGATATACGTCTGGGGGAACATTGGAACCTTTCAATGAAATTTTCTTGAAAAGTGATTTTCTCGTCAGAACGCTCATTATATACCCTTCTGCCGGGCACCCGACTATTAATACAATGTGGACTTTTTTCCCAGACCAGCCAAGCTTGTGTATTTTTCAAATTATGCAAAATGTACTTGTAGCTAACTAAATTTATTTAAGATAACGTTTGCCAAGACAGCTAATATTGATATGAAACAATTAATTCACCTTAGAAATACTCCCCGTATAGTTCAGATTTTCCTCGTCAAGTGGAAAGAATGTGGAGATAAAAGAACGCAAGGTACGGTGCCACAAAATCACCATTGGTGCTCTAATCCTCGTCACAATTTCACTCCAAACAAACAGACGCTGTTTCCATGGAAACCTCCCCTGAACCTCTGAGATTGGCAACTTGTAATTGTCATAAATATAGTTATACGTGAATCGTTGCCATTGGCCGTTATTCGAGTTAGGTAGCGTTGGGTTGCGTTTGCGATATAATTGACCTGGATCTTCATCAGTTTTTATTCAAGGCAGCCTATTGTAGTCCTTTTTGGTACCGATACACCGCTGAGATGCTGCCATTTCGCTCATTGGGTCTGAATAGAGCTATTGAATATTCCTGCTCAAAATAATAGTTAGTTTCCTGTAATGGCCTTTCATCCAACACGATTGCCCGACTACCCGAGCCATTGAATTATATTCAAGGTAAAGAAGCCGTTTCGGTTTTTAATAATAATACTGCCATGGGCGTCGCCAGGATTTTTGAAGGGGGGAAGCAAATGTTTCCCCCAAAATCCTTGTACCTTCTCTAGTATATTCTCAATTGATCACATTTTGCCCACCCCACCCCCCATTGACACCCTGCACACGCCCATTTTGTTAAAATGTGTATGAAATTAATAGTAAATATGACTTCAAACCTCTTTTTTCCCTCCTTTTTTCCCTTTTCGTCGCGGGGGGGGGGGGGGGGGGCAAGCGCCCCTCCTTGCCCCCCTCGACGCCCATGGTTGCTGCTCGCTTTCTCATGAACCTGGAGTCAGACACTAATCTATAGATCGAAAGAATTGCCTAAAATTTTCACCCCGACGTCTTCAAATCTTTGCTTAAATGACTCCAAAAGCAGCTATACAGCACTTCACTTCAATTGGTGGGCTGTTCAGATGCGGGCCTTCGGATTTTAGCTCGCAATTGGAAGGTTTTTTTATGTAAAAATCTGGCTCACGTCATGCAACGGCATGGTCCGAAGAAAAGGAAAAGGACGTGCAAATCCTCCGCGTAGGCCACTTACATCCGGAAAATTCCGAAGCACAAAATACCAGATTTACTCAAGGGTGGATCCAGAACACAATTTTTTTTGGGGGGCCAAAAAAAATTTGGTCACCCAAAAAAGTGGGTCGAAAAAATTACGGCGTGGGATTCTAGATGCTCTGTGGTGCGATCTGAGGCAATTTCTCACCACTTTAACCAATGGTTTTTTTTGAGAAAAAGATGGTGGTGTACTCATTGCCTGCCTTTTTATTGCGATGTCACATAAAGCAAAAAAAATTGGTTTCGTTTTTTTTGGGGGGGGGGGGGCATGGCCCCCTTTGACCCCCCCCCCCGGATCCGCCCTTGGATTTACTTTAGTAAAATATCATATTTGTCGAATGATCCAATATTCTGAGAAAACTATAAATGTATTTTGCCAACTTATACGTGACGTCATCACGTGTGACAAATATAAAATTCGTACGATTTGTAATACGCGTTGGATCATGGATGGAGAACATTGGATTCAGATATACGTCTGGGGGTACATTGGAACCTTTCAATGCAATTTTCTTGAAAAGTGATTTTCGCGTCAGAACGCTCATATGCCCTTCTGCCGGGCACCTGACTATTAATACAATGTGGACTTTTTCCCAGACCAGCCAAGCTTGTGTATTTTTTCAAATTATGCAAAATGTACTTGTAGCTAACTAAATTTAATTAAGATAACGTTTGCCAAGACAGCTAATATTGATATGAAACAATTAATTCACCTTAGAAATACTCCCCGTATAGTTCAGATTTTCCTCGTCAAGAGGAAAGATGTGGAGATAAAATAGCGTAAGGTACGGTGCCACAAAATCACCATTGGTGCTCTAATCCTCGTCACAATTTCACTCCAAACAAACAGACGCTGTTTCCATGGAAACCTCCCCTGAACCTCTGAGATTGGCAACTTGTAATTGTCATAATTATAGTTATACGTGAATCGTCGCCATTGGCCGTTATTCGAGTTAGGTAGCGTTGGGTTGCGTTTGCGATATAATTGACCTGGATCTTCATCAGTTTTTATTCAAGGCAGCCTATTGTAGTCCTTTTTGGTACCGATACACCGCTGAGATGCTGCCATTTCGCTCATTGGGTCTGAATAGAGCTATTGAATATTCCTGCTCAAAATAATAAAGAGTTTCCTGTCATGGCCTTTCATCCAACACAATTGCCCGACTACCCGAGCCATTGAATTATATCCAAGGTAAAGAAGCCGTTTCAGTTTTTAATGATAATACTGCCATGGGCGTCGCCAGGATTTTTTGTAGGGGGAAGCAAATTTTTCCCCAAAAATCCTTGTACTTTCTCTAGTATATTCTCAATTGATCACATTTGCCCACCCCCCCCCATTGACACCCCTGCACACGCCCATTTTGTTAAAATGTGTATGAAATTAATAGTAAATATGACTTCACACCTCTTTTGTCTTTCCTTTTCTCCTTTTATTCCCCTTTTCGTCGGGGGGGGGGGGGGGCAAGCGCCCCTCCTTGCCCCCCCCCCCCCCCCGTGACGCCCATGGTTGCTACTCATGAACCAATCTATAGATCTACTAAAAATCATTCGTTTGTAAAGAGCATGTATATATCACCTCACTTCGTGTTTGGAATGAGAACTATTTTTCTTTGGAGCTCGTTATTTAACATAACATATAATTAGGGCATCCCTTTTCATTTTTGACCGACCCTATTTTGGGGCTAATGAAGAAAAAAAAACGACTCTAGGTAAATCAGGCTTTGTGTTATTTGAAAAGATATTGAAAATGAATACCAGATATTTTTGTACGGCGTATATTATTGAATCAACCAGTGGAATCCCAGAAGATGAGAGGATGTTGCCTTTAATGACTGGTATGTCATGGCTGCCATTATACAAAACGTTAGTGAGCTGCTAGGTGCATGTAGGCCTAATGCAAGTCTACTAAATCTTGCCAAATATGGTTTCATTGTTTTATTCAGTGATAACTCATGATAAATCCATTTCAATTAACAAAACTAGACACAGTACGCACTTGGCATCATTTAATTTAGCCATTCTATATACGGGTACAACTGCCATTTTCTTCTTATTCAGATTTTTACATTTTTGTTCGACCGACCGACCCTACTTCCGAGGCAACAAATAAGAGAACCATTGAAATAAATAGGAATGCCCTGACATAATGCTCTTCGGTGAGACACGGAATCGAAATCAATCAAAAGTTTTGAAAGATACAAAAGCGGTCAGCAGCAGCGTAGCTACGGGGAAGGGGGGGGGGGGCGTGGGGAGGGGCACAGCCCCTCTATAAAAAGTTTGTGCCCCCAGTAGTCCCTCACTGGAAATTTGGCATCCGGAGAAAAGCACAGCACATGAGTTACCATGATAAGGCCAAAAACAAGTCTCCGGTTTCTGGTATGGAGCTTGCCCAAAAAGTGGTGCGGCGACGCGGCTTTTTTTTTTTTTTTTTTTGCTTCAAATGTCGGCTGATGACTGCAAATGGTGCCCGACTAAACTTAGTGCAAATATGGGAGTACAGAGAGGCCACATAAAGCTTATTCTCGACCATAACCCCATCCAAAAACACGTTAAAATTGTGCAGCAGCAGGATTCCAGTCAAACCAGTGAGTTTGGCGGTTTTGAGACATCATCTTTCATTGAAAAAAAAAACCTTTTCATTTTGCCGACGCGCAGGGCTACGGCGACGCGCACGCATACAAGAAACCGGAGACTTTTTTTTGGGCCTAAGCTTGAAAAACATAATGTCCCTTTTCCCGCGATTTTATGCGTATTTTCCACCTAAACCCTTTCTTTTCGCGAGTGTTTTTTTATTTTAACGTCCGTGGAAAGCGAATAGCGGTAGTTATTGTCCAACATTAATGCATGATATAGGTTTTGAACAGCGCCCCCATGGGAAGATGGTGTCCAGCCTCTGAAGAGGCTTTTATTTGTGTTAATTTTGCTCTTCTCGTGCACAAAAACAATTACGCTTAAATTAGAGTCGGGCTGCAAGTTATTCGTACTTTATATAAAGTATTATTTTCCCATTTGATGTCGCATTAAATAGTAAGTTAATGTTGAAGTGAAAGAAAATATAGCAATTAAAAAAAAACCGGTGATTTTCTGTGTGTGTCACCCGGAAAAAGCACGGACAGTACCGTTGTTTTGTACTTTCATGCTGACATACAACGCTCACGATCGATGTGGTATGTTTGTGTACATTTCAATTCCCAACAATGGTCCCTTAGGGAGACATTCCATAGGGTTGTGCACAAAACCTTCCCAGTTTTCATGACCTCTAACACCCATTTTACATTATCCTACCATCACGAATTTTGGTTTATATATGTTTTGGACCACGAGCAATCGATCTAGCCTATTTGCAAAGGTAACATTTTGCCCCTAAACAGGAGTGTGACATAAGGGAGACATTGAAATATCTCCTTAATCTACTTTCTTTAATAATTGACATAATTTCCAGCGCCTTGAGTACCTAATTGTTGGTAGATACGTGCGCTATATAATAAGACTCCGTTATTATTATTATTATTATTAATCTACCTTGTCTACCTAATAAGGTATAACTTATGACGAAATATGTCTCCTTTAGTGTACATTGACAGGAATTTCGTTTTGATTCGCACCTATAGGACTACACAAGAATCTTCATGGCTGGCGGGCTGCAAAAGCTTCTTGATCCTAGCCAGAGTGACTTCATTCGGTAAGGCAAATATTCTCAAAATGTACAAACACTTTTATTCCCCACTCTTGGGAAGTCAAAGGATGTTATACGTTTGTACTTTGGGTGGTACTTTGAACAAAATAGGCATTTTTTTGTATAGCGAATAAGTATTTCATATTTTTTATCAAAAATTGACATTTGTGGTTCTTTAAAAGGATCCTCCCGTCAAAACGCTTTCTAATATTGTGTTGTTATTTTACTAAGAGATCTATATTGTTATTTTACCGGAAGTAATTATAAAAAAAACTCATTTTATTACCAGGCTTCTTAAAAATTTAGGCTGATGGGTAATGAAGAAAGGGTTCGTGCTAATTCTCAAGGGATTATGCTTTAAACTAAAGTACCATCTCTTTTACAATGCGTAAGTTTATGTTATAGTAATAAACATTCCATTGTCTTTAATGTGCGAACGCGAATTTAGTCCCCCCCCCCTTAAAAAGAGGTTCTTTCATCTTAGCTACAGTTGGAAACATTTGAGGGGGAATCCCGAACCTCTTAAGTCGGTTTATTCAGATGGTTTCGTGTTTTCTCAAAGTTCGTCCCGACTGCGGTGTTTGTTTTGAGAGAACACAATAATTGCCCGAATAATGATGGATAGCATTGTCATCCATCTTCCTCTATATAGGGCATCTCGCCAATGATTGTGTTGATTTTTGGGTTTTTCTCTTTTTCAGCAATCTGACCTTTCTTGAAGGATGGCCCATGCATCTCCTCGCGGAAAACCCGAAGAAGTGTGTCTTTTCTTATTTCAAGTAAGTCGAGTTCTTCCTAATGGAAACTGTCAATGATCGACAGACACATCCGCAAATAAAGAATAATTATCTTTAAACAAAACATGAAAAATGGACGGCAATCTTGCCCATCTGTCTGTTTTTCCCTTCCTTTTGTAAGGAGGGGGTAAGATTTCCTAGACTCTACATTATTATCCAGAACATGAGGATTTCTTGAACAAAGGGATTATATTTGGTGATTCTTGTTTAAAATTTTGATTTTCTCTTTCAAAGGAGGGGAGAGGTTTTGGTGAAGAACAGCAAGAAATCGGACTGGATTCTTGTGGTCAAATCAGTAAGTCTGACGCTATATCAGTTTTTGATCAAGAGATTTTGTTTTGAACAAAACGGCACAGTTTGCTTGTTGTACACTCTAGAAAACAGTCCCGATCGGATTGACCAGATTGACCCGAAATTCAGGTTCTGTTTTGCCTATATTTTGTAGGGTCCAAATTTACACTTTTCCGGGTCAAAATGGCAATTTTATGGATCATTTTCCGGGTGATTTTGATGCGGAAACCTTGGAACAAAGTATCGTTTTGCACCAAAAAAGTGTCAATCTTTTCCCCTGATTCAGGCGGAATAGAATCTGGCTTCTTGGGTGAATTATGACCAGGGAATTGTTAGTATGTATACAGCGATGTGATTTGTCATGTTTCATTCTGTCGCAGGGCAGTTGCTCAGTGATGAAGCTGCTACACACCAAGAAAAAGATGAGGAAGAAAAAGAGGAAAACGAGTCAAACAGGTAACGTTTTCTTACACACATTGGCGGCACCAGACTCTAAAATGGGGGGGGGGGGGGGGGGGGGGCAAGTGGGGGGGGGCGGGTTACAAGAAATATTTTTGGGAGGCAGTCAAAATAACAATGCTATATTAGCCAACTGCGTGCACAAAACCAAAATTTCACCCTCTAATTTCAACTATACTTCTTATTCTGAACAGCGAAGGAAATAAACAGACTTCAATCTCTATGTAGACAACGTGTGGGGGAAAACTTTGGGGGAAGGGAGTTAGAGGGCAAATCCCCCCCCCCCCCCCCCAATCCCCGTAGCGCCGCCACCGCTTACTCAGCGACGGGTTTGGCCAAATCAATGTTTTTAGAGTAAGAAATTGGACTCTTAATCTGTAGTAAGTGGTACTGTTCTTTGACATTATTGAGAGAAAAAAATTGGAAAGGCTGACTATTGCTTTTAAAACTGGGGTCGGTTCTGGATGGGTGTGTAGATTTCAGTAATGTTTCATGCAGTGGTCTCTTACAAGGATCTACATTTTCTTTTTGATTTTCATGTTTATTTTATTCAAATATTGAACTTTCCCAGTAGTGTATACATTTGTTGGTACATTATCTTGCCGTAGTGATAATTAACTATCTTGCCATTTCTCGCACAGGTTTACTGGACCTAACCACGCAGGGGAAACGCCTCTCCATGCGCGGAGGGTCGTTAGAAAGCTATCAGCAGCGCAAAACACGGGACGAGTTCGAACACTTCATGAGAGATCTGAATATTCACGAGGAGGAACCAGCCAATCAGCCTGGGCAACAGAGCGTCTCAAAGGGCACAGCGCATGGGCAGATGGAGGGGCAGCTTGCTCAAAATGGCCGAAATGCAAATGTTGAATCCAACCAGGGCATCAGGAGAACTATTGACAAACGCTCAGGGCGGCCGGTTTTGCCCACACAAAACTCAACTGTGAGTGGTACACAGAGCGGGATATTCATGTCCAAAAAAGCGTGCATTTTTCAGACGCAGATTCCTCAGAACTGGGGAGACATGTTAAAAATAATTTTAAGATATGGTGATGCAGTGCTGAAAATAGAGCCTTAATTAAGAAATGGCAATGGTTTAAAGAACGATGGTCAAAAACAGTTCGTCCCACGCGTCTATGATATAACACAGTAGCACTGCGTGCACAAATAACTGGCAGCAATAATTTACAATTAAGTCTACATGCCTGACAGAGACTTGGACAAACCAGTGTTCGACCACTTTTTTGTAAATGACCGCTATTTTTTAACTTCAGCTTTATTCTCTACGCCGTTTTCATCAGATACCACCAATATCTTGTAGTCTAGGAATAGGCCTATACTCAACATGTCTCCCCGATTTGGAGGAATCTGCCTCTGACAAAGTGTAAACGTTTTTTTGGACCTAAGCATATTTTATAATATCAAAGTCTATGGAGGTGTCGTTGATTGTCTGATGTATTTTTTTTGTTATAAATGAAATTGATTGATTATTAGTGATGGCAATACACTTCATCCTGTTTTAGCATTGTCCATACGCCTTAAGGCTTGGTATCATTGACAAATATTGTCAGATTGGTTTACATCTAATTCTTTTTTTTCCCTTCAAAATGTGAGTGCTGTTAAAACATTATCAAAGTCTGGATTTTGCCCCTGCAGGTCCATTTATCGAGACTTCCTTCGTATGTGGCTACATCAGGCCAACCAACCAACAGGGAGAACGAGCAGACAGAAAGTGAGTGCATTTGTGACTATTTTTATTTCGTGATTGAGAAGCACGCTTAGAAAGATATATGCATCCATTTAAACTTAGATGCATTTTATACTTACCCCAAAAAGCAGAGAACAATACAGTGCGAGTCAAAAAAACTATACACTTTTAAAATTGGCCTTAGTTTTATTCTGTAGTTTTAGAGTAATTCTTCCTGCTTCTTTTGGTGACATTTCAACTGGATTAGTTTGCATGCATGACTGCTCAGGACACAATTAAAGGGGTCGGTTGAAATCTGACTTGCGCCAACTGGTCAGGGCTAGATAAGAAAGAAACAATTTAAAAGAACACAACCTTTGTCTAACAAAGAGACAAAAGAGGATTTCATTAGCTTTTAAACTTTATGTTTATTTAAAACATTTAAATCAAATTAAAAAGGCAATTAAATTCCACGGTATCTTAGTCCTCAACATGACCACCATCTCGTTCAATGCACATCTGGGCTCGGCGCATCATTTCTGCAACAGCACGGCGAATCACCTCCCTGTCTTGTCTGAGAATGTCAATTTCACGAGTTATCCTTTCCTGGAGGTCATCCAGATTTGCCAACTGAAACTTTTGCAAGCAAGATCCACAAATCTGAACTGATTATGCATTCCATGACCAGAACCAAGACAATGGTTGTGTTCTTTTAAATTGTCTCATTCTTATCCAGCCCTGACCAGTTGGCGCAAGTCAGATTTCACCCGACCACTGTAATTGTCTCCTGTGCAGTCATGCATGAAAACCAATCCAGTGAAAATATCACCAGAAGAAGCAGGAAGAGTTACTCTAAAAGTACATATGAAAATATGTTATCTATATTACTACAGAAAAAAAACTATGGCCAATTTTAAAAGTGTATTTTTTTTTACTCACACTGTACAATGAATAACATAATTATATGCCTGTTTGAAAATAACGACACCGTGCCGAGCATCCAAAGGACTATAAAGTCTTCTTCAAAAACGCGTGCAGAGTAACTTATTTTGTGTTACCCGTTCATGTCTTGTCCTGTTCCAATTGGGATCAGTAATTATTGTTACCACTTGAAAAGAGCTTTAAGGTGACTCTCTTCTCCTTCTACCACAGATTCACAGCGAGAGGCAAGACATCAAGAACCAGTGGGGCAGAGAAAGACCGTAGCAACCGAAATTGTCGACGAAGTCGTCAAGAAAGAGGTGCATGTCAACAACTCAAATTCAAGTGGAAAAAAAATTCCTCACTAAGCATAATATGTGTATGGAATAAAACTATATCGAAATTCCCTATTTTACTTCTATTCATTTTTTTTTGCTTGGTACTACCCTGCCATATTTTCTTTAAAATTAATTTTGAAAGAAAATCCTCATTTGTTATTTTGTTTCCTTTTGAAAAGGATGATGACGTTGAAGCAGTATGGGTACAAGTTCAAACTTTGATCAAGGGATCATACTTTGTAAGTTAATTCATGTATTCGATATCTCTTTTCTAATCCCATAGTTAGAAAACTATTTTGTCGCAAATGTTTTTCCAGAATGTTATTTACGATGTTTATAACTTTCTTGCAGCAGCAGCAGCAAACGAAATGGTTACCTCGAAAAAAATGGTTAAGAAAAACCCCAACAGAACAAAACAAAACAACACACGGCAGAACGAGTTTGAATATTTATTTCCCCTGATTTAAATGTACAAGATCACTTTTGTGAAGGTGACAGTTTTGTTTGTTTGTACATTGTTCCGAAGGGACTATCCGACATGTTGTTTGATGCTCAGCCGAGTTTCTCCGTTGTGAGTAATGGAGCAGAATGCATCCTCATGTCCAAGAAGTTCTACCGCGAACATGCCACGCCCAGAATGCTGACACGCTTGCGAAGAGAGGTTAGTTTGTTTTAACTCTTATTAACTCTTTAGGGGGTTGGTTAATGTCTTACGCACGTTTCGACACCAATTTCTCGTGAAGTTTGCTGTAATGGGGGCTTACCTTCTTAATTCACAGTGCACAACAAAAAATGTTTATTCAATGACCACGGCTGATTCAACAGCATGGCGCGCACGTGATAAAAGCCTCCGCGTTCGTTTAAGAAAATGACGATTAATTCTTTTCTTTAATTACAAACTTTGAAGATTGACTTAATTAACTTAAAATAAGTATGTTATGATATGTATACGAAGAATCACACCACGATTTCACAAACACTTAGGCCAAAAAAATAATAGTTCCACTTCCGGTTACCTTACCTATCCTTTTTTTGACAGCCCCTACCCTAATTTTGTTTGGGGGGAAATGAGGGGGGAAAATAGAAAATCATCAATTACTACCCTTTACCCTTGACTATACACGCAGACACCTCCATAATGTTCGTACACAAAAAATTACCATAAACGAAATATTTTCCAACCTACCTACAGGTACCTTATTTTCAAATGCCATGCAATAGGAAACAGAACTATTTTATTTTGGCCTTATTGTTCTGCTCTTGGCGGTGTATGTACTAGTGATTGTTTTTAAACTGTGAAAAGGTAGAAGATATCTGACCTATGAACTCTGACCTTTAACCTTACAGGAGCAATGTTACCCTGACGAGCAGGAGCTGCAGAAAAACCTAGAGAACAAGGTCGAGTGGGAGTCGTACAAAAGGAAGTGTCTGCTCACAGCACTAAAACGTACCAGAAAGCGTAGCAATCAGCAACGATGAATAGACATGTATGATGCAGGCCAAGTCTGAACAATGCCACGATATCGTTCATGGCGGATTATGGAGTCTGAGAACGACCAAAGCGTCATTTGCCTAACGATCTATGAAATTATGACGTAAAGGTCAACTTTATTTAAAATGTCCACAAACGTATAACGAATGTGGCGCTGTGTCCCGCGTGATAACGTATGAGCGTGCTGAGATATGGACCTTATTCACTAGTTGGCCATTTTTGTCGAGTTCCCTGCATGTATTTCATTAATTGTTAACTGTTGAATGGGATGGTGCCAGATTATTTATGCAGGCACAATGCAGCCTTATTTTACTGTCATTTTGTTTTTTGAAATATGGCTTTAAACATTAGGAAATGTTTAATTTCAAATTTTAAATTATTCATTGAAGCTGACTGGAATTAATTAGAAATTATCTTGCTTTCATTTCCCTAGCCCTTCGCAAGTTCAAAAAATTCAGATTTTTACCTCACGTTCGATTCCATATGGCTGATTCGTAAATAAGGCACATGGAGTCTGAGAACGACCTAAGCGTCATTTGCCTAACGATCTATGAAATTATGACGTAAAGGTCAAATTTATTTAAAATGTCCACAAACGTATAACGAATGTGGCACTGTGACGTATGAGCGTGCTTAGATAATCACATTTCAGTGAAGGTGGCATCTTGTCACGCAGATGAACTAGGTGTTAAAGGGCCCATGAAATGTAAATTTGTTAATGAAATTCTTGAAAATGAACCTTTGTGTCCCATTTAGCATTTTTTTTCTATTTTCATGTTGCCGTTTTCAAGGGTATTTTGGTGCCTTTTTGGTTTTTATGCTGATGCAAATTTCCATATTCATGAGCAAAAGCAGACCTCAATGTTGCAATTGGTTTGTGCACAAAAGTTGCCACAATGTTGGATATTTCTTTTCTTAGGTGATTCGTTGTTGTGTTAGTACATGGCAGTAAGCCAATGAGCAAACCTTTCTCATAAATGTTATCAATGAGCAGATTTTTGGGTTCACATTTGTACATAAAACCCTTAAACTGAACAGTGTCTCCCTGAAATGACATCATGACAAAAGCGCTCTCAGTTGTCAAAAAAACATAGACAATTTTAAACGTTGAAAGAAATACGCTCTTGAATAAATAAACCAAAAAGGGATGTCAAATAGTTTTCATACATTTAAGAATAGTAGAAAGTAGCACAAAATGTGTTTCTCAACAAAATTCATTTCATGGACCCTTAAATTTTTGACCCGATAATATTAGAACTGTATCAATTAAGAACCGGGTAATATGCATTGCATTGGAAGCTGCGGTGCTATTATGTAGAAATCTCGCTAGAATTTTCCGACTTCAGATTTCCCGTTGAAGAATAGTTTGGTAAATGTAGTGCAATCGATGAATAAATGTTATACATCAAAAAGATTTCAAGTTTAGTTTATGTATTGGGTATCCGTGTCAGTAGTGCCCGATCAACTCTCAGAAACTACGCTCCCATGCGGCGGATCTACGGGGGCCGGGGATTAGGGGTCAAATAGGACGATAATGCAAAAAAATACAGTAATAAATGCCTGCTTAAGCCCCTTCTGGGCAGTGATCGAATCCCCCCCCCACCCCTTTGATCCAGACCTGGATCCGCCCTGCAACGTTCTCTTCTGCAAGTGCACAGAATATTCCAGTGCTTGAATAGTCTTGGGACAAGACGTTGTTGTGGTAGATACGCGATTATACATACGAGTTGTTGGATGAGAGGCGAAGACCCGGGCTGATCATAGTATACAACTACAGCTTGGTTTGAGGGGAACTATTTTCCAGACATAAACGTTTGTTTTACTACACATCATAAATATTTAGCAGCCTTACTGTCTTTTTAGTACCCTCCCTGCCTTGGCGATAACGGCCTTCGTAGATTTTTGCACGAATGAAATGAAATGCCGCGATTGCCTGTTGAATATTTATGAGGTGTAGTAAAACCCGATTGCTGGCTGTCTGTGGGTGATAGCGCTTATTTACAACAACAACGTCTTACCCCATAAAGTTTAAAGGTTTGGGACGTGAAAACATTCTGACTCTGTATTGACTGCAAATACATATCCACGTGGGATCTCTCCTTTAAAAATTAATGAAACACGTGCCTCATTCAGAAACTGTATATATTTTCATTAATTTCATCTGATTATACTCAGTACATATATACCATATTAATACACCGTGTTCTCTATTAAGTGGGAGAAACCCGAATTGAATTGGGTGAAGCGCGGCTATCCACCTACTAGGCGGCCCAACCATTTTTTTTTATGGCAACGAGCCTATACCTATTTGTTCAAGTACTTATCACAATGTCAATACTTATAACGCTGCGAGGATGAAGTTAAACCCTTACCTCTATCATAGGTCAACCATCAGACCTGTTTTATGCATAAAATGTAGACTATAGTTTTGGACAAATCTGTAGTGTCTTGCAGCAGCTAGGGACAAAGATCTGAATTCGAAGTGGTAAGTATAGATTCATATTATACAACGTAATTAATTATATTTTCTCTTTCTTGATTGTGTCAAATTGGCTTTGGTGACGGGTAAGTTTGGTTAGTTGATATCGGCCTGACCAGGCCTGACAACGCCCCACTGGCAACCTAATCCTCAACATTGGCTGAAATCTTTTCGGTTTTTCTGTGATACTTCTGAGTTTGTTTGTTGATTGTTTAAGCAGTTACAGTGTAAGGCGTATTACGTAGTAAAAATCAATTTCATTCATTTAGGCAGGTATCAGCAGGTTACTTACGAAAAAGGAAACAGAATAACAGTTATAATGTCGGCTCCATCTTGCAGGGGCAGTGTGACTGTGAAGTCATCATGAAAGTCAGCCATTCTGCCGATCTACCCCTAATAACTCTTCCAAATAGCGCCCTCACCGGCGTCCAACTCACCAATGACAAGGACTATGCCAAGTTCACGTCATATGAAGCGCGTATCCCGGCCGAGACTACCGTTGCGCTGAGATCCCCAGACAGCGAGCAAAGCGTCCACATCTATTACTGCATTAGCGGGAAGGGGAAATGCGTCGAGGCTGGCGGTCAAAACCAACGGGAGATTTGCCCTGACACTGTGGTGGCGCTCTCTTCGAACGTCACCTATGAGTTGACAGTGTCAGCAGAGGGCGGCATGCGTCTGTTCGTAGTCTACTATCCAGACACCCAGGTGGCCTACCGATCGCTTGCAGTGGTGCGAAGTCTGTCGGAGGTGATTGGCACTGACAGGGATATCGAATGGGGAGGCGGCCACAGCCGGCGATATCTCATCAAACAAGATGGCTTCCCTCTGGGTATTCACAACACCTGGGCTTATCCGAAGACATCTTCCCGCTTGGGCTACATGAATCACATCGAGGGTGCGTACTACATAGCAGGAAAGGTAACCTACCAGTGGCAGGATACCAGTGGCGAGTGGGTTCATGCCACGACGAAAACAGACGGCGAGAACGGCACCAATTACCTCATGAATATTCATGACTGTCACGTGGTCAAAGTCCATGACGAAGATGCCTTCTGCATCTGTATCTTTGATCCTGTTCTGACAGGGGATGAGAATCACCGACAAACAGAAGGCGGTTATTCCGGATACAAGTCATGAAACTGGATCAGGAACCAACAACATCAGTAGCTATAGCGGAATGCAATAATTAGCCTTAAAAAAAAAGACCTAGACCCTAATATAACGATAGCCAAAGGTAGCATATTTTGCTTCACGACGATTCATGGTGTTCAAAAAGAGCAATTTGCAGCATCTCTTGAATCCTATACAGAGCCAGGATTTTACCTTGTAATCCTCCCGGCCATCTCACTAGCTGGCTCGGCATGAAGTGAATGGAATTCGGCGCTTAGTAGGTCATTGTCGAGGCTGTGTCGGATCATCGAACGACACATCCAAATTCACTGTGCCCATTTAACCGTCAATTTTAATCTTAAAAACCGTCAAAGTAATATGGAAGTTGAGATTTGAAGGTTAATATAAAAGTTCTTTTATTATTAGATTATCGTGTGTTCTGACAGAAATCATAACTAATCAGGCCCGACTGTGAAATTTGATAATTTTATATAATTATATAAATTTAATAATAATTATTTCATATTTGATATTTCAAATTTCAAGACTTATGTCACAAGCATGCGGGAAATCTATCAGGAAAAGGGTCAACTGTGCTTCTTCTACTTTCCGCTATTCATGGGCTTAATTCTTCTGCTGAGGCTGATAATGAATGTACCAAGAAGGCCTAGTACATGGAATTGAAGGATTGTTTTAAAAATGTAATCACAACCATGCATGGTTTGTTTGTTTCATGTTTGTCGTCGCTATAAAGCATGGAGGTAGAAAGCGCATTTCAATACATGTACTTAGGAATTTATACGATTTGTTTACACTGTTATTTCGGTTGTGTAAAAATCAAACGGTTGTGTACTATATGAACCAAGCTACGTGTTGTGTAAACTGTTGTTTACACAACTTGTGTAAAATATTACACAACTTGTTCAATTTTTTTAACACAACTGGTTGCTAGGTTTATATAGTGCACAACCGAAATAACAGTGTAATTCTGTTCCATCAGTCATTAAGTCAGTCTGCGAAAGATAGGTAGTGATAAAGATTGAGATCTGTTTAAAAGCATGTATTAAAAACCCAGTATCAATGTCTAGTCACGAGGTTAAACTTTGTACCCGTTCGTGAGGACTGTACACTTTTTCAATAGTAAAAGATAAGGAAAGGGCAGAAATGAATTTAACGCGGTCATAAATACTGCATGATATACGCACTATACATTCAGCAGGTCTGCGTTACTTTTGGATGACGTTTAATGCAAGAGTTTTGAAGTCATCAAGGTGAGTTGAACACTTCCATTTCAATTGGAGGCTGAAGGATCGGAGCTCGGCTACTAGTACTAGTAAACATGCGTCGTGGACGTCTGACTCGCATATACAGTGGAAATTTCAGTCGTGAGAGACGAGCTCAGAGTTGTAACATTTGGTGCTTAAATTGAACTTCTAACTTGCCTTATCTCTCGCTCTTATGTTCCGTTCCACTGTTACATCCAACTATAGCAACTGTGCGACCCAACTGAAGTTGGGTCATTCCCAACTGTGGCGACACATAGAGTTGGGCATACAGAACTATTATACTGTCGAACACCTTTATAACAAGGTCCTGGGGACTTTATTAATCACATTGTTATATCAGGTACCTTGTATTAACAGTAATGGAAAACAAAGAAAGCCAAAGACTTGGGACCTAAAATTCATGTAATGTATTAACAGTGCTCTTATCAGGGTTCGTGACCGTATACCTTTCCTTAACCGTGTCACAGTCTTTGTTGTTCTTCTGCTTCTGCAGAGTCTGATACATTAAAGTAAGTTTTGCAATCGTTAAAATACGGGGGAAATGCATTTATTTTCACTCATTGATGGACGCTTTTGCTTTTATCTTTTGACTTTAAGGAAACATCATGAAAGTCAGCCATTCTGCCGATCTACCCCTAATAACTCTTCCAAATAGCGCCCTCACCGGCGTCCAACTCACCAATGACAAGGACTATGCCAAGTTCACGTCATATGAAGCGCGCATCCCGGCCGAGACTACCGTTGCGCTGAGATCTCCAGACAGCGAGCAAAGCGTCCACATCTATTACTGCATTAGCGGGAAGGGGAAATGCGTCGAGGCTGGCAGTCAAAACCAAAGGAAAGTTTGCCCTGACACTGTGGTGGCGCTCTCTTCGGACGTCACCTATGAGTTGACAGTGTCAGCAGAGGGCGGCATGCGTCTGTTCGTAGTCTACTATCCAGACGCCCAGGTGGTCTACCGATCGCTTGCAGTGGTGCGAAGTCTGTCAGAGGTTGTTGGCAATGACAGGGATATCGACTGGGGAGGCGGCCACAGCCGGCGATATCTCATCAAACAAGATGGCTTTCCTCTGGGTATTCACAACGTCTGGGTTTATCCGAAGACATCTGTCCGATTGAGCTATATGAATCACATCGAGGACGTGTACTACATAGCAGGAAAAACAACCTTACAGTGGCAGGATACCAGTGGCGAGTGGGTTCAAGCGACTACGAAAACGGATGGCGAGAACGGCACCAACTACTTAATGAATATGCATGATTGTCACGTGTTACAGAACCACGACAAAGATGCTTACTGTATTTGCATCTTTGATCCCGTTCTGAAGGGAAATGAAAATCACAAGTTTACGGAGGATGGGTTCTCTGGTTATGAAGCCTGAAGGGGTGGACAGTAAATCTTTAAAAGGAATGTACAACAATTGATTTTGCTGCAATTTTCAGTCAATAAATGGATTTGGATGATTAGTATAACATAGCAAATATTGTTAAAATGACTTGTTTGACATTTTGGGCTCGTAGATGTTGGAAAAACTAAGAAAATCAATCATATTCTTGAAATCTGATTCCCCGACCCCCTTAAGATGAAACGGAGCAATTATAGACTTTTGGGATTTGTAAGGTCAGAGAATCAGTCTAGCAGGCTTGTACCCCTAGCCCTTCACAGGTGTGAAATAAATTGTAAAGAAAACCGTAAACGTGGAATACCTAATTATGAAAAAGTAGGAGCAGTTTTTGAACAAAAAGCGAGTTTTCTCCAACGCTGGTCGGCCGACCAGCATTTGAAAAATACCATTTTTCTTTAAAATGCCAGCACACCAGGAGCCGCGATTTTACAGGGTGCTTTAGACTATCATTCCCTATCAATTCAGTGAGGTATTTCATGATAATTTGATCATTTCGTTTTGTGATGTTAGCAAATGTTGTATCTTCCCTTTAAATTCAAAAAAACAAATAGCGTGTCACTGACAATCATTTCGTTAACCATAAATATGTAAACAATAAGTCAGCTCATACATTGTATAATTATTCAAATGAAAGGACATAGGAACAATGGTAATTGCCCGGAAACGAACATACTGATTTGATGAGAAAAACCTTGCTTAAAAGAGCAGAAGTGACTGGTACTAAAATACCCTGTGAAACAAAGTTGATCGGAGGAGAACGATCACTGAAAGTGGTTTTAAATATATTTTTTCTTTAATTAAACGATAACCGTTAATTACATGAACTATTGTAACATAATCACTTTCAGATGTGGTGGTATACAGTACTAAGCGGTAAGAATATTCCCGAACAGAATAAAGGAAAGAGACCAATAACGCCAAGATTGCCCATTACAGCTCGATTTTCTGTTAACGGTAGTTTTCCCCTATACTTAACTAAAACGTGGCCCACCTCCAAAAGAGGCAACATTTTGGATTTTTTTTATCTCTTGTGATGTAGCACTTGGGTGAGCTGTCTAAATGCAAAAAAAAAGAAAAGAAAAAATTATCTGAATCAGTTTTTTTTGGGGGGGGGGGAGCCCCCCACTTTTTGAAGTCATGCCCCGCCCACAAAAGGGTCAGAAAAAAATGGCATCAAGACTGGTTTTGAACTTCCAAATGTATCCATTAGTGATCCTGAGAGTTTCAAAGAATGTGCCCGAAAATGCATATGGGCTCCCGTAAGCCCACTGACTAATAGTGCAGAGCAAACTTACTTTCGGTACTTGTGGTTTTCATAAGTTTCGAGAAGAAGCATCTTAATAACATTCGAAATGGCACAAAACTCTGGCAACAGTAGGCTTCAAGAAATCATATATAGCCTGCTGTTGCTCAGATTACAGGCGAAATTGCCCACAATCTACATAGACCAGTTCACTAATAATTCAAATTAATACAAAAAAACACAGGCGCATAAATAAACCCGAGGGCAAAATTAAAGCGAAATCGGCCCATTGAAAATGTACAGGAATCCAAACAGTCTTGTCATTTTAGGCCACTACGAAAACAGACGGCAAGAACGGCACCAATTACCTCATGAATATTCATGACTGTCACGTGGTCAAAGTCCATGACGAAGATGCCTTCTGCATCTGTATCTTTAATCCAGTTCTGACAGGGGTCGAGAATCACCAACAAACAGAAGGTGGTTACTATGGATACAAGTCATGAAACTGGATCAGGAACCAACAACATCAGTAGCCAGCGGAATGCAATAATTAGCCTTTAAAAGACCAAGGCCCTACTATAACGATAGCCAAAGGCAACATCTTTTTCTTTACGACAATTTGTTGTTCAAACAGAGCAATTTGCATCACATCTTAAATCCTACACAGAGCCAGGATTTTACCTTGTAAGATCTGTGGAGAAATCCTCCCGGTCATCTCACTAGGAACTCGGCACGAAGTGAATGGAATTTGGTGCTTAGTAGGTCATTGTCGAGGATGTGTTGGCGCGGTCGAACGACACATCCAAATTCAATGTGTGCCCATTCAACTGTGAATTTCAATCTTAAAAACCGTCAAAGTAAAATAAAAGTTCATTTATGGTTAGATATCGAGTGTTCTGACAGAAATCCTAACTATTTATAGGTCTGAATGTGAAATTTGATAATTTTGTATAATTATATATTGATTTCATAACAATTATTTCATATTTGATATTTCAAATTTCAAGACTTTCGTCACAAGCATGCGGGAAATCTAGCAGGAAAAGGGTCAACTGTGCTCCTTCTATTTTCCGTTATTCATTGTCTCATTTTTCTTTGGCTGATAATGAATGTATCAAGTAGGCCCCTATATACAGAATTAAACCATTTTTAGAAAATGTAATCACAACCATGCATGGTTTGTTTCTCTCATGTTTGTCGTCGCTATAAAGCATGGACGCAGAAAGCACATTTCAATACTTGGGAATTTATACGATTTTGTAAAATTCTGTTCCATCCGTCATTAATTTTTATATAGTCTGCGAAAGATGGGTAGTGATAAAAAAATGAGAGTTGGTAATTATTATCACCGTCACCACGAAGTGACACTAACATCGAAAAATCGATATTTGCGATTCCGATTTTTTCCCTAATCTGTGATTAATTACACATAATCTATCACCTCAAGGAGTTACTATACACAGAGTTAATTGGTTTTGTCAATATATTAATGAACATTAATTAACCTTTGTAACTTAATGGATCAAAATCGGAAAATGCATTTTCACGAAGTGTACTATACCATTCTTTCGCGTGTAAACTGCCTGCACACTACGCGTCAAAAACGGGTTTGCGTTTTCACGAAGTACCACAAAATGTCACGTGTTATGCGCGACTCACTTCTGGCATTTCACGAAGTAGCGCTAACCCATTAGCTAATACACATGGTTAGCGTCACTTCGTGAAAACTCGAACACAGAGTTATCGGATTTTTGAGTATTCACGAAGTGTCAAGACAAGTGTACTTATGGTTAATTAGTTTGATAACTCATTATTGTTCAATAAAAAAAATCATACATTAACGTGTCATTCAAGATCCCAGCTTTCAGAAAATGCAACAAAATATGAATTTTGAGCCCAAAACGATATTCAGATCACCGTTTCAAAACGTCGTCAACTTAAATCGCTTGTATCTTGAAACACACATTTTCCACTTTGCGGGGTTAAGGTCATTTCGTGGTGACGGTAAGAGCATGTTTTAAAAACTCAGTATCTGTAATAATGTTTAGTCACGACGTTAAACTTTGTACCCGTTCATGAGGACTGTACACTTTTTCAATAGTAAAAGATAAGGAAAGGGCAGGAATGAATTTAACGCGGTCATAATACTGCATGATACACGCCCCATAAATTCAGCAGGTCTGCGTTACTTTTGAATGACTTTTAATGCAAGAGTTTTGAGGTCATTAAGGTGAGTTGAACACTTCCATTTCAATTAGAGGCTGAAAGATCCGAGCTCGGCTACTAATAAACATGCGTCATGGACGTCTGACTCGCATATACCTAGCTATAGTGGAAATTTCAGTCATGAGAGACGAGCTCAGAGTTGTAACATTTGGTGCTTAAATTGAACTTCTAACTAGCCTTATCTCTCGCTCATATGTTCCGTTCCACTGTTACATCCAACTATAGCAACTGTGCGACCCAACTGAAGTTGGGGCATTCCCAACTGTGGCGACACATAGAGTTGGGCATACAGAACTATTATACTGTCGAACACCTTTATAACAAGGTCCTGGGGACTTTATTAATCACATTGTTATATCAGGTACCTTGTATTAACAGTAATGGAAAACAAAGAAAGCCAAAGACTTGGGACCTAAAATTCATGTAATGTATTGACAGTGCTCTTATCAGGGTTCGTGACCGTATACCTTTCCTTAACCGTGTCACAGTTTCTGTTGTTCTTCTGCTTCTGCAGAGTCTGATACATTAAAGTAAGTTTTGCAATCGTTAAAATACGGGGGAAATGCATTTATTTTCACTCATTGATGGACGCTTTTGCTTTTATCTTTTGACTTTAAGGAAACATCATGAAAGTCAGCCATTCTGCCGATCTACCCATAATCTCTCTTCCAAATAGCGCCCTCACCGGCGTCCAACTCACCAATGACAAGGACTATGCCAAGTTCACGTCATATGAAGCACGCATCCCGGCCGAGACTACCGTTGCGCTGAGATCCCCAGACAGCGAGCAAAGCGTCCACATCTATTACTGCATTAGCGGGAAGGGGAAATGCGTCGAGGCTGGCAGTCAAAACCAAAGGGAAGTTTGCCCTGACACTGTGGTGGCGCTCTCTTCGGACGTCACCTATGAGTTGACAGTGTCAGCAGAGGGCGGCATGCGTCTGTTCGTAGTCTACTATCCAGACGCCCAGGTGGTCTACCGATCGCTTGCAGTGGTGCGAAGTCTGATAGAGGTGGTTGGCACTGACAGGGATATCGACTGGGGAAGCGGCCACAGCCGGCGATATCTCGTCAAACAAGATGGCTTCCCTCTGGGTGTTCACAACACCTGGGTTTATCCGAAGACATGTTCCCGATTGGGCTACATGAATCACATTGAGGGCGTGTACTACATAGCAGGAAAAACAACCTACCAGTGGCAGGATACCAGTGGCGAGTGGGTTCATGCCACGACGAAAACAGACTGCGATAACGGCACCAATTACCTCATGAATATTCATGATTGTCACGTAGTCAAAGTCCATGACAAAGATGCTTACTGCATTTGCATCTTTGATCCCGTTCTGAAGGGAAATGAAAATCACAAGTTTACGGAGGATGGGTTCTCTGGTTATGAAGCCTGAAGGGGTGGACAGTAAATCATTAAACCCGACAGACAAATCACGTGTCAGAGACAATAATTTTGTTTAACATAAATCTGTAAACGATTAGTCCGCTCGCACACTGTGATTATTTAAATTAATTATAAAGGACATATAGGACCATTGGTAATAAGGCTCTGCACTGATGACATCACACTTTGTTTATATGTGTGCTTTCTTAAGTTATTGGAGCCTGGTGGGAACAAGAGGCCCATAGAAAAGCACATAAGTAAGCAAAGTGTGACGTCATCAGTACAGAGGCTTAATGCCTGGAAACGAACCTACCGATTTAACGGAAAAGCCTTGTTCACAGTAAAGAAGTGACTGGTACTAAATACCGATGTGAAACGTTGTTGTTTGGAGGAAAACAATCAACATTTTTATGAAAATAAGTTTTTACAACTTTTTGCGTTATCCCTGCTTTTTCCACTGAATGGGGGACTCTCAGTGTTTATTTTAAACCTGCAGTACAGAATAATTATTTTCTTGTTAAAAGTCTGACCTAATCTGTATCATTATCGTGGAAATTGCGAGTAAATCACATCAAAACAAATCAAAATACATGATTTATTTTAACATAATCACTTTGAAATGTGGAGGTGTACAGTATTAAGCAGAAAGAAAATTCCCAAACAACATAAAGGAAAGAGAAGGAAGCATTCTTTTATAGATTTGAATTTATTTCAAGGTTGACATTACCCAGTCACAATCGTTCGATCAAGCCAGAAAAGATTCAAATTTACGACCCTGTCAGTATCCATTGTATTTCTTTTTAAAAAGATAGATTTAAAAACAAAACAAAAATTTTGACTGTGGCTACTAGATTTTTTGTCTTAAATTTTGTATATGGTTTAATGTACCAGATTGGTTTTTTTTTAACTGAAGTCCTTTAAAATGTGCCTACACCGCTGCGCTTTCACTTTCGTCCTCGGTATTTGCATAGCCGTTCTCGAGGCCTTGCTGCGCATGCATATGGAGGGTTTTAAATTGTGAACAAAAATTGCTTTTTTTTTAGATAAAATCTGCAGTTGAGTACAAATTCACAGAGGTCAATTCTCTAAACTGCACTGTAAAAACTGTGTTTAGCAAGTAAACACTTTTCTAAACACTTTCTTGCTATCAGTTTGTAAACATGTTTAAATACTAAACATGTTTAGCGTAAGGATGGATAGTGTTTAGCCATTGAACATTGGTGTTTAGGAATTGGACACGTAATGTTTAGCGTCTAAACATGTTTACAAAGTGATAGCAAGATTGTGTTTAATTGCTAAACACAGTTTTTAGAGTGTGTGTGTTTCCTTGTTGATACTAAGTCATGTCTATGACAGCTATAGTCAACACGCAATGTATGTACATACCGTGACCGTTATCATCAACATCTGTATGTCTCTAATTTTCTACAACAAAACCTCACAAACCAGTACAAGTGCCTCATGGGTCAGGACATATATAGCATGACTGCGGTATGAAACACTGAAAACAAGGCAAATCTAAACTGAATTTGATCCAAACAAAATGAGCCACATTATTCCCAGTCGAGTCGAGTCGGGCAAAAACGAAGGCCTCACTGGGGACTAATTTGCAAGGGGTACATTCACTACATGGGGACAGCTTTTTTTTTTCCAAAGAGGGTTACTTAAAGGGAATGTACATCATTGGCTTTTGCTGAAATTTTCAGAAATGAACTATTTGAGGGGCTAGTATAATAGATAAAATATTGTTACACTGACAAGTTTGAAGTTTTGTGTTTCAAAATGCTAGAAAAACCAAGAAAAACTAAAATGTTCATGTGGTCTGGTTCCCTGACTCCACTAAAGATGAAATGAATAGATTCATAGATGCCGGAAAATTGTAAGGTAAGGAAACCAGTCTGGCTGGCCTGCACCCGTTCATGAACATGTAACCAATAGCAAACAAAATTTGGACTGAACAAAAATGATATATTTGGAGCAGTAATTGAAAAATAGTTAGGTTTTTCCAACGGTGGTCGGCCGACCACCGTTGGAAATTTGTACAAAATACTACTTCTCTTGAAAATGACTTCACACCAGGTGCCATAATGTTTGACTTTCATTTACAAACATTCTGGTAAGGTATTTCGTAAAAATTATAGGGTTTTGTTTTCCTATGTTTGCTAATGTTGTTTATTCCCTTTAATGGGCCAGTTAGTGGGTTTTCAATGATAAAAACAAAACTTCAATTTTGCCTTCCCAAAATTCAGAACGGGGGCACCGGTAGGGCCGCGGGAGGGCTCGCAAGGAACCCCGGATTGGCGGGGGGGGGGGGGGAATGCCCCCCGACGACGCCCCTCACCCTAAGCTAGACTACCTGCAGGCATGTATATTGACAAAATATCGTTTAGTACAGAAATTCATATTTCAGCTGGCCTATTTTATAAGCTATATTCTGAGAAGTGAACTTTGATCCAGATCGGTTCATCACATGATGGTACAAAGTTCGTCAACAGTGTCATCAGGTCAGCAGAAGTCTGTGTTAACATTCGGTCATCTAGAACGAAGTGTACAGCTTTATGTATAGACTAACACGCATGTTATTAAGGTGAGTTATTTTTTCACAGTTTTATTTCAGTGCTGACGGCGGAACGAACATCGGGACACTCGAACCGTTCGATGCAATTCCATGGTCTTTGAACTTGTATTTAATAAAATAATTTTGGAATCGTGAAATTATGAGGAAGTAGCCTATATTAGCCATCCAAAAAAGGTTATGTATCAACGCAATATTTCATTCCTTTCAATCCGAAGAACGAACATATAAACTCGTCAATGTTTTTTTGTGCCTGCAGCTTAACTTTCAACATGTTGATCACGCATTCTGACGAGCTCCCCGAAATGGCTCTTCCCAACAGCGCCCTCAGCGGTGTTCAGCTAACCAGTGAGAAAGATTACAGCGATTTCACAAGTTACGAAGCGCGAGTCCCTGCCAAGAGTACCGTTTGTCTAAGATCGCCGGGTGGCCAGAGTAGCCTGCACTTTTATTACTGCATCAGTGGAAGGGGGAAGTGTCAGGCGACTGCGGATGGAGGCCAGCGTGACGTCTACCCAGACACAGTGGTGGCGCTGTCATCCGATGTGACCTATGAGCTGACAGTGTCAGAAGAGGGCGCCATGCGGGTCTTCGTAGTCTACTATCCAGACGTCGAGTTGGCCTACCGCTCGCTGGCAGTGGTGTGAAGCCTGTCAGAGATTGACGGCAGCGAAAGAGACGTCGACTGGGGAAACGGGCACAGCTGGCAGTACCTGCTGCAACCAGATGGCTTTCCCCTGGGTATTCACAAGACGAGATTGAACCCAATGACGTCATCTAAACTGGCCCATCACCACATAGAGAGCGTGTACTACACGTAAGGGAGTGTGACCTACAAATGGCAGGATACCAGCGGCGCTTGGGTAAACCAGAGCTCGAGAATTGATGCGGAGAATGGAACCAACTATCTTCTGAATGAGCACGACAGCCATATACTGGAGAATCATGAGAACATTTCTGACTGTATCTGCATCTTGTACCCCGTCCTCTCGGGAAAGGAAAAACAGATCCTGACCGTGGATGGATACACCGGTTTTGAGGCCACAAATTAACATGTCCCACAGAGTGCGATAAAGTGCATTGCTTCACAATGTTGAGTTGAATTTTTTCTTTTTATTCTAGGTGGCTCCAAATTTATGTCAAAACTGAATTGCGTCTTGATAGTACAATTCTTTCCCCCAAATGCTCTGATCTTGTTATAATAAAGGCTAAAACATCGGTGCTATATGAATCACATCGAGGACGTGTACTACATAGCATGAAAAACAACCTTACAGTGGCAGGATACCAGTGGCGAGTGGGTTCAAGCGACTACGAAAACGGATGGCGAGAACGACACCAACTACTTAATGAATATGCATGATTGTCACGTGTTACAGAACCACGACAAAGATGCTTACTGTATTTGCATCTTTGATCCCGCGGGAAATGAAAATCACAAGTTTACGGAGGATGGGTTCTCTGGTTATGAAGCCTGAAGGGGTGGACAGTAAATCTTTAAAAGGAATGTACAACAATTGATTTTGCTGCAATTTTCAGTCAATAAATGGATTTGGATGATTAGTATAACATAGCAAATATTGTTAAAATGACTTGTTTGACATTTTGGGCTCGTAGATGTTGGAAAAACTAAGAAAATCAATCATATTCTTGAAATCTGATTCCCCGACCCCCTTAAGATGAAACGGAGCAATTTATAGACTTTTGGGATTTGTAAGGTCAGAGAATCAGTCTAGCAGGCTTGTACCCCTAGCCCTTCACAGGTGTGAAATAAATTGTAAAGAAAACCGTAAACGTGGAATACCTAATTATGAAAAAGTAGGAGCAGTTTTTGAACAAAAAGCGAGTTTTCTCCAACGCTGGTCGGCCGACCAGCATTTGAAAAATACAATTTTTCTTAAAAATGCCAGCACACCAGGAGCCACGATTTTACAGGGTGCTTTAGACTATCATTCCCTATCAATTCAGTGAGGTATTTCATGATAATTTGATCATTTCGTTTTGTGATGTTTGCAAATGTCGTATCTTCCCTTTAAATTCAAAAAAACAAATAGCGTGTCACTGAGAATCATTTTGTTAACCATAAGTCTGTAAACGATAAGTCAGCTTATACATTGTATAATTGTTCAAATAGTAAACGACATAGGAACAATGGTAATTGCCCGAAAACGAACCTACTGATTTGAGAAAAACCTTGCTTAAAGTGAAGAAGTGACTGGTACTAAATACCCTGTGAAACAAAGTTGATCGGAGGAGAACGATCACTGAAAGTGGTTTTAAATATATTTTTTCTTTAATTAAACGATAACCGTTAAGTACATGAACCATTGTAACATAATCACTTTCAGATGTGGTGGTATACAGTACTAAGCGGTAAGAATATTCCCAACCAGAATAAAGGAAAGAAACGCCAAGATTGCCCATTACAGCTCGATTTTCTGTTAACAGTAGTTTTCCCCTATACTTAACTAAAACGTGGCCCACCTCCAAAAGAGGCAACATTTTGGATTTTTTTTATCTCTTGTGATGTAGCACTTGGGTGAGCTGTCTAAATGCAAAAAAGAAAAGAAAAAATTATCTGAATCAGTTTTTTTGGGGGGGTGGGGGAGCCCCCCACTTTTTGAAGTCATGCCCCGCCCACAAAAGGGTCAGAAAAAAATGGCATCAAGACTGGTTTTGAACTTCCAAATGTATCCATTAGTGATCCTGAGAGTTTCAAAGAATGTGCCCGAAAATGCATATGGGCTCCCGCAAGCCCACTGACTAATAGTGCAGAGCAAACTTACTTTCGGTACTTGTGGTTTTCATAAGTTTCGAGAAGAAGCATCTTAATAACATTCGAAATGGCACAAAACTCTGGCAACAGTAGGCTTCAAGAAATCATATATAGCCTGCTGTTGCTCAGATTACAGGCGAAATTGCCCACAATCTGCATAGACCAGTTCACTAATAATTCAAATTAATACAAAAAACACAGGCGCATAAATAAACCCGAGGGCAAAATTAAAGCGAAATCGGCCCATTGAAAATGTACAGGAATCCAAACAGTCTTGTCATTTTAGGCCACTACGAAAACAGACGGCAAGAACGGCACCAATTACCTCATGAATATTCATGACTGTCACGTGGTCAAAGTCCATGACGAAGATGCCTTCTGCATCTGTATCTTTAATCCAGTTCTGACAGGGGTCGAGAATCACCAACAAACAGAAGGTGGTTACTATGGATACAAGTCATGAAACTAGATCAGGAACCAACAACATCAGTAGCCAGCGGAATGCAATAATTAGCCTTTAAAAGACCAAGGCCCTACTATAACGATAGCCAAAGGCAACATCTTTTTCTTTACGACAATTTGTTGTTCAAACAGAGCAATTTGCATCACATCTTAAATCCTACACAGAGCCAGGATTTTACCTTGTTAGATCTGTGGAGAAATCCTCCCGGTCATCTCACTAGGAACTCGGCACGAAGTGAATGGAATTTGGTGCTTAGTAGGTCATTGTCGAGGATGTGTTGGCGCGGTCGAACGACACATCCAAATTCAATGTGAGCCCATTCAACTGTGAATTTCAATCTTAAAAACCGTCAAAGTAAAATAAAAGTTCATTTATGGTTAGATATCGAGTGTTCTGACAGAATTCCTAACTATTTATAGGTCTGAATGTGAAATTTGATAATTTTGTATAATTATATATTGATTTCATAACAATTATTTCATATTTAATATTTCAAATTTCAAGACTTTCGTCACAAGCATGCGGGAAATCTAGCAGGAAAAGGGTCAACTGTGCTCCTTCTATTTTCCGTTATTCACTGTCTCATTTTTCTTTGGCTGATAATGAATGTATCATGTAAGCCCCTATATACAGAATTAAACCATTTTTAGAAAATGTAATCACAACCATGCATGGTTTGTTTCTCTCATGTTTGTCGTCGCTATAAAGCATGGACGCAGAAAGCACATTTCAAAACTTGGGAATTTATACGATTTGGTAAAATTCTGTTCCATCCGTCATTAATTTTTATATAGTCTGCGAAAGATGGGTAGTGATAAAAAAAAAATGAGAGTTGATAATTATCATCACCGTCACCACGAAGTGACACTAACATCGAAAAATCGATATTTGCGATTCCAATTTTTTCCCTAATCTGTGATTAATTACACATAATTTATCACCTCAAGGAGTTACTATACACAGAGTTAATTGGTTTTGTCAATATATTAATGAACATTCATTAATCTTTGTAACTTAATGGATCAAAATCGGAAAATGCATTTTCACGAAGTGTACTATACCATTCTCGTAAACTGCCTGCACACTACGCGTCAAAAACGGGTTTTGCGTTTTTACGAAGTACCACAAAATGTCACGTGTTATGCACGACTCACTTCTGGCATTTCACGAAGTAGCGCTAACCCATTAGCTAATACACGTGGTTAGCGTCACTTCGTGAAAACTCGAACACAGAGTTATCGGATTTTTGAGTTTTTACGAAGTGTCAAGACAAGTGTACTTATGGTTAATTAGTTTGATAACTCATTATTGTTCAATGAAAAAAAATCATACATTAACGTGTCATTCAAGATCCCAGATTTCAGAAAATGCAACAAAATATGAATTTTGAGCCCAAAACGATATTCAGATCACCGTTTCAAAACGTCGTCAACTTAAATCGCTTGTATCTTGAAACACACATTTTCCACTTTGCGGGGGTTGAGGTCACTTCGTGGTGACGGTAAGAGCATGTTTTAAAAACTCAGTATCTGTAATAGGCCTAATGTTTAGTCACGAGGTTAAACTTTGTACCTGTTCATGAGGACTGTACACTTTTTCAATAGTAAAAGATAAGGAAAGGGCAGAAATGAATTTAACGCGGTCATAATACTGCATGGTACACGCCCCATACATTCAGCAGGTCTGCGTTACTTTTGAATGACTTTTAATGCAAGAGTTTTGAGGTCATTAAGGTGAGTTGAACACTTCCATTTCAATTAGAGGCTGAAGGATCCGAGCTCGGCTACTAATAAACATGCGTCATGGACGTCTGACTCGCATATACCTAGCTATAGTGGACATTTCAGTCATGAGAGACTAGCTCAGAGTTGTAACATTTGGTGCTTAAATTGAACTTCTAACTTGCCTTATCTCTCGCTCATAATGTTCCGTTCCACTGTTACATCCAAATAAAGCAACTGTGCGACCCAACTGAAGTTGGGGCATTCCCAACTGTTCCCAACAGGTACCTTGGATTAACAGTAATGGAAAACAAAGAAAGCCAAAGACTTGGGACCTAAAATTCATGTAATGTATTAACAGTGCTCTTATCAGGGTTCGTGACCGTATACCTTTCCTTAACCGTGTCACAGTTTCTGTTGTTCTTCTGCTTCAATCTGCAGAGTCTGATACATAAAAGTAAGTTTTACAATCGTTAAAATACGGGGGAAATGCATTTATTTTCACTCATTGATGGACGCTTTTGCTTTTATCTTTTGACTTTAAGGAAACATCATGAAAGTCAGCCATTCTGCCGATCTACCCATAATAACTCTTCCAAATAGCGCCCTCACCGGCGTCCAACTCACCAATGACAAGGACTATGCCAAGTTCACGTCATATGAAGCGCGTATCCCGGCCGAGACTACCGTTGCGCTGAGATCCCCAGACAGCGAGCAAAGCGTCCACATCTATTACTGCATTAGCGGGAAGGGGAAATGCGTCGAGGCTGGCGGTCAAAACCAACGGGAAGTTTGCCCTGACATTGTGGTGGCGCTCTCTTCGGACGTCACCTATGAGTTGACAGTGTCAGCAGAGGGCGGCATGCGTCTGTTCGTAGTCTACTATCCAGACGCCCAGGTGGTCTACCGATCGCTTGCAGTGGTGCGAAGTCTGTCAGAGGTTGTTGGCAATGACAGGGATATCGACTGGGGAAAAGGCCACAGCCGGCGATATCTCATCAAACAAGATGGCTTCCCTCTGGGTATTCACAACACCTGGGTTTATCCGAAGACATCTTCCCGCTTGGGCTACATGAATCACATTGAGGGCGTGTACTACATAGCAGGAAAAACAACCTACCAGTGGCAGGATACCAGTGGCGAGTGGATTCAAGCGACTACGAAAACGGATGGCGAGAACGGCACCAACTACTTAATGAATATGCATGATTGTCACGTGTTACAGAACCACGACAAAGATGCTTACTGTATTTGCATCTTTGATCCCGTTCTGACGGGGAAGGAAAATCACAAGTTAACCGAAGATGGGTTCTCTGGTTTTTAAGCCTAAATGAGTGGACAGTAAATCATTAAACCAGACAGACAAATCACGTGTCAGAGACAATAATTTTGTTTAACATAAATCTGTAAACGATTAGTCAGCTCGCACACTGTGATTATTCAAATTAATTATAAAGGACATATAGGACCATTGGTAATAAGGCTCTGCACTGATGACATCACACTTTGTTTATATGTGTGCTTTTTTAAGTTATTGGAGCCTGGTGGGAACAAGAGGCCCATAGAAAAGTACATAAGTAAGCAAAGTGTGACGTCATCAGTACGGAGGCTTAATGCCTGGAAACGAACCTACCGATTTAAAGAAAAGCCTTGCTGACAGTAAAGAAGTGACTGGTACTAAATATCGATGTGAAACGTTGTTGTTTGGAGGAAAACAATCAACATTTTTATGAAAATAAGTTTTTACAACTTTTTGCCTTATCCCTGCTTTTTCCACTGAATGGGGGACTCTCAATGTTTATTTTAAACCTGCAGTACAGAATATATGTAATTATTTTCTTGTTAAAGGTCTGAACTAATCTGTATCATTATCGTGGAAATTGCGAGTAAATCACATCAAAACAAATCAAAATACATGATTTATTTTAACATAATCACTTTGAAATGTGGAGGTGTACAGTATTAAGCAGAAAGAAAATTCCCAAACAACATAAAGGAAAGAGAAGGAAGCATTCTTTTATAGACAAATTTACGACCCTGTCAGTATCCATTGTATTTCTTTTTAAAAAGATAGATTTAAAAACAAAACAACAATTTTGACTGTGGCTACTAGATTTTTTGTCTTAAATTTTGTATATGGTTTAATGTACCAGATTGGTTTTTTTTAACTGAAGTCCTTTAAAATGTGCCTACACCGCTGCGCTTTCACTTTCGTCCTCGGTATTTGCATAGCCGTTCTTGAGGCCTTGCTGCGCATGCATATGGAGGGTTTTAAATTGTGAACAAAAATTGCTTTTTTTTAAAGATAAAATCTGCAGTTGAGTACAAATTCACAGAGGTCAATTCTCTAAACTGTGTGTTTCCTTGTTGATACTACAAGTCATGTCTATGACAGCTATAGTCAACACGCAATGTATGTACATACCGTGACCGTTATCATCAACATCTGTATGTCTCTAATTTTCTACAACAAAACCTCACAAACCAGTATAAGTGCCTCATGGGTCAGGACATATATAGCATGACTGCGGTATGAAACACTGAAAACAAGGCAAATCTAAACTGAATTTGATCCAAACAAAATGAGCCACATTATTCCCAGTCGAGTCGAGTCGAGCAAAAACGAAAGCCTCACTGGGGACTAATTTGCAAGGGGTACATTCGCTACATGGGGACAGCTTTTTTTTTTCCAAAGAGGTTACTTAAAGGGAATGTACATCATTGGCTTTTGCTGAAATTTTCAGAAATGAACTATTTGAGGGGCTAGTATAATAGATAAAATATTGTTACACTGACAAGTTGGAAGTTTTGTGTTTCAAAATGCTAGAAAAACCAAGAAAAACTAAAATGTTCATGTGGTCTGGTTCCCTGACTCCACTAAAGATGAAATGAATAGATTCATAGATGCCGGAAAATTGTAAGGTAAGGAAACCAGTCTGGCTGGCCTGCACCCGTTCATCAACATGTAACCAATAGCAAACAAAATTTGGACTGAACAAAAATAATATATTTGGAGCAGTAACTGAAAAATAGTTAGGTTTTTCCAACGGTGGTCGGCCGACCACCGTTGGAAATTTGTACAAAATACTACTTCTCTTGAAAATGACTTCACACCAGGTGCCATAATGTTAGACTTTCATTTACAAACATTCTGGTAAGGTATTTCGTAAAAATTATAGGGTTTTGTTTTCCTATGTTTGCTAATGTTGTTTATTCCCTTTAATGGGCCAATTAGTGGGTTTCAATGATAAAAACAAAACTTAAATTTTGCCTTCCCAAAATTCAGAACGGGGGCACCGGTAGGGCCGCGGGAGGGCTCGCAAGGAACCCCGGATTGGCGGGGGGGGGGTGCCCCTTCACGACGCCCCTCACCCTAAGCTAGACTACCTGCAGGCATGTATATTGACAAAATATCGTTAAGTACAGAAATTCATATTTCAGCTGGCCAATTTTATTCTGAGAAGTGAACTTTGATCCAGATCGGTTCGTCACATGATGGTACAAAGTTCGTCAACGGTATCATCAGGTCAGCAGACGTCTGTGTTAACATTCGGTCATCTAGTACGAAGTATACAGCTTTATGTATAGACTATACACGCATGTTATTAAGGTGAGTTATTTTTTCACAGTTTTATTTCAGTGCTGACGGCGGAACGAACACCGGGACACTCGAACCGTTCGATGCAATTCCATGGTCTTTGAACTTGTATTTAATAAAATAATTTTGGAATCATGAAATTATGAGGAAGTAGCCTATATTAGCCATGCAAAAAGGTTATGTACTAACGCAAAATTTCATTCCTTTCAATCCGAAGAACGAACATATAAACTCGTCAATGTTTTTTTTGTGCCTGCAGCTTAACTTTCAACATGTTGATCACGCATTCTGACGAGCTCCCAGAAATGGCTCTTCCCAACAGCGCCCTCAGCGGTGTTCAGCTAACCAGTGAGAAAGATTACAGCGATTTCACAAGTTACGAAGCGCGAGTCCCTGCCAAGAGTACCGTTTGTTTAAGATCGCCGGACGGCCAGAGTAGCCTGCACTTTTATTACTGCATCAGTGGAAGGGGGAAGTGTCAGGCGACTGCGAATGGAGGCCAGCGTGACGTCTACCCGGACACTGTGGTGGCGCTGTCATCCGATGTGACCTATGAGCTGACGGTGTCAGATGAGGGGGCCATGCGGGTCTTCGTAGTCTACTATCCAGACGTCGAGTTGGCCTACCGCTCGCTGGCAGTGGTGCGAAGCCTGTCAGAGATTGACGGCAGCGAAAGAGACGTCGACTGGGGGAACGGGCACAGCTGGCAGTACCTGCTGCAACCAGATGGCTTTCCCCTGGGTATTCACAAGACGAGATTGTACCCGATGACGTCATCTAAACTGGCCCATCAGCACCACATAGAGAGCGTGTACTACACGTCAGGGAGTGTGACCTACAAATGGCAGGATACCAGCGGCGCTTGGGTAAACCAGAGCTCGAGAATTGATGCAGAGAATGGAACGAACTATCTTCTGAATGAGCACGACAGCCATATACTGGAGAATCATGCGAACATTTCTGACTGTATCTGCATCTTGTACCCCGTCCTCTCGGGAAAGGAAAAACAGATCCTGACCGTGGATGGATACACCGGTTTTGAGGCCACAAATTAACATGTCCCACATAGTGCGATAAAGTGCATTGCTTCACAATATGTTGAGTTGATTTTTTTTATTCTAGGTGGCTCCAAATTTATGTCAAATCTAAATTGCGTCTTGATAGTACAATTCTTTCCCCCAAATGCTCTGATCTTGTTGTAATAAAGGCTAAAACATCGGTGTTTTTAGCGAAGAACTCGGGAACATTATTGATTGACATTTCTGTTGAAGTGAAAGTTTTTAAGTGGCTTGTAAACTTGCCTATTATAATTATTATATAAGGATGGATATACCGGTTTTGAGGCCACAAATTAACATGTCACATAAAGTGCGAAAAAGGGCGTTTGCTTCACTATATTTCAAGTTTTTTTTTTTTTAATACTTTGTACGTGGTTCCAAATTTTTGTTGGTTACAAATTTATGTCAAAATAAACCTTACGTCCAATAGTTCAATTCTTTCCGAAAAATACTATGATCTGGTCATAATAAAAGTTCATGTTTTCGAAATACCCCGGTAGCTATATTAAGGTAGTGTCCATGTCGTATAAGCAACTCCTTATATGGAGATTGGCGCACGCGTTGCGCGTAATGCGCGATGTCGCGCGTAATGCGCGATGTCGCGCAGAACGCAGCTGTGCCGGTGTAGTGAAATTTAGCACTATGAAGATATTGACTCACTGGTAGTATTGCGCATGCCTACGTACGTACAAGCACGTTCGTTTATGGTGTAACTCGGGGGGGTTTCTTTTGTTCCTCTTCCCTTTTATTTTATTTGTACTTTTTCGCAACGGCACTCATTGGTTTTTACCAACCGAGGAGTCCTCGCGATTCGGATTCTGCCCTCGACTCGTCGATGATGTTGCACGTGCGTGTCCTCGATTTACACCATAAACAAACGCGTGTGCACTGTAAACGTTCAATTCAACCAATAAAACGGTAAACAACAGGCCCCAAATTTCAAAGGAGTCTTCATTTCATGTGACAGTGGAAAAGTGTTTAAGACCAGCCAGCCGGTCTTTATCAACCGTTTAAAACCGGCCACGTGACGGTCTCAACCAATAGGAATGGGTTAACTGTCTTGCGTATTTGTGAATAATGGTTACTTACATTATTTGCCCAATTTTCAAGCCAATAATAATGATTTTTAAAGCTATAATTTAAATCTGTCAAGGCTTTCATAGAATCATGACTGTAAAGCAACCTTTTGACGAACGTCTGATATACTTTGCAGTATGCAAATTTACAGAAAAGCCTGTTGATTGGTCCAAACATGCATGGCAGCCTCCACGGTGTAATTGATGTGTAAGGATCTGACGAGTTTCCCGTCAGTATAGAACTCTCTCCAACGTCGATTTCAGAACTAAAAGAGGCACACAAAACGGTAATTTGCGCCTCAGCATTTTTTTCAAAGAACCCTTTTGAAAGCTGGAATCCCTGAGGTTTTAACGTAAAAGTGTTTTTACATGTACTTTTAAAGTTTATATTGAACAAAAGAAATGGGTATTGTATAAGGGCTCCCTTGTGCAAATGAAAACGTATATAAAACCATAGACCTTGCTATCGGGCGCTCGACAACCCCTATAGGCCTAAAACATTCTGCCGAATGCTAAATATTTCGTATTTTCTTTTTCAGTTTTACTCAATCTTACCCCTAGGGAGGGGCGTGGCGCTCGAACGACAAACCCACCGTTTGTCCATTCATCACTATCAATTTTTAACCTTAAAAACGGTCATTATGATATAAGATAAAAGGTCCTTTTAACTTGTGTCTGAATGTGATACTTGATATATTTTTTTGGAATATAATGTAGGGAAGTGTCTTTTAGGAGGCACCGTATATTGGCACATCGCCCAACTGCTTTTACGAAATCGGAATGTACAGGTCAATGGTTACATTACACCCGCCATGCATGCGCCATTGTTTACGCGCGAAAATCATCCTTTCCAGTCTACACACCAACGTGTGAGTATCGTACCAACATTTTGCTTAGGAAGACCGGACTGTGTAATTGCTGTACATTCTCATTTCATTGTGTCACTATTACTGCCACTACAGGTCGAAGTTTTAGTTTATAGTATGAGGCTAAAATGAGTGATTTGGCACCCGAGATTCACGTGCAAATCGCATGTATTGTGTGTTGTACACTTGCGTTTCGATCTTCGCCTCAATACTGTACATAACATCGGGAAAGCGGAGTCCACACAGTCGTACACTGACTTGGCGTTCGGGGAACTGTAACTTTAATAGAGTTCTTAAAAACGTTGAGTACTTGGAACTTATTAGGCCCTAGACTTCTTAAAAACCTTGCACTTGAAATGAAGAACTTTAATTGTAGCAGTTGGAATTTACTATTACTATTAGGAACATTACTCTATAAACTTAGACTTGCAGCTTGTAGAAATTGTATCTTATTCATTATAGTTCAACCCTAGTGAGCTCACATTTATGTTGATGTCATAAACAAGAAATATTGTAAAGTCGTTGTGCAAGAACAGGTTTAGTTAGTAACAAGTTCATGAGAACAAGCATATTTGGACTCCTGTTTTGGTTTCCGTGGCGTCCTTATTTGAGCGGACCTTCGTAACTACAGCTACAATAATATACATGTGTAATATTACATGTATATACAAATACAATGTATTAATTTATATTTCGATTATTAAACGTTCAGAATTTCGTCACAAACATGCGGGAAATCTAGCAGGAAAAGAGTAAGCATGATCTATCTACAGGGTGAGTAAACAAAGGACCAATTATTTCTGCATCGGTCCCACTTTCAAAATCTGGAATATGAAAGCCCAATTAATAAGCTTTCTTTTTATAAACATAATTCAATTACTTATTTACTTTTCAAGTTACGAAATTTTGAACACAAACACCGTTTTAAAGTTATGTCCACGGATCACAAAAAAATGTCCTGGCCTTCTTCGCGTTATTGGGACGTTTAAATTAGGACAGAGTTATGGGGACTTGCTGCTGTCCCCACAGCATTTTCGGCCCCCACAAATACCTCGTACATAGTTTATGTCCCCACAAATGGGTGTTTTTAATGTGGAGGCCAGTGTGTGACATTAGGGTCAAATTTTCAAAATAGCCAAATTAAATTCAGCTTCACATGCTTTTGCAGTCTAGGGTCTATATTTTGTCAAAAACAAAACAATTTTTCTGTAACATGACCCTTTTTAGAGTAGCAACATGATGAACTGGCATATGGGACACAAATTTCACCTGTAACAGTGACACCAAATTGTTAATTTCTGTTAGAGCTCTCACCAGGTTATTGTTCAGGTATGGTAAAGACATGTTGCTTTTTAAGCAATTATTTGCAACACATATAAGTTAAAAAAAACTTTAACATTATCCTTGTTCAACATTTGTTGAAAATCAAATATCAAGTTTTAGGAAATTTGACATATTATGATGATTACAAAAATGTAGCTCTCACTTGACATGAAATTATATTATTTTAAGACAAACACTCACTTGTTCTCTAAAAGCAAGTTTGACAGCCAAAACTGCAACTATGAAGAACAATGAAGATTTACAAACACCACTAGAAAGCATGTTATTGTAAGTAAAGCCTGGTGTTAACCAACATTTCACCTGTAACGCTGACACCAAATAGTCACTGTTACAGAGTGACAATCCTACAACTAACTAATAATAATAGTAATAAATGGTATCAAACCATTTAAACCTTTCTATTTAGTGATAAGCTTGATGGTTTCTACATCAGATGCTTGTTTCTGAGACTGGAAATTTAAATATCAGAGTTTGTTATAATAATCATTTCCCCTGTAACGCTGACACCAACACCAAAAACACTTTTATCACTTTTCTTCACTGTAGTTCTACTTTAACCTGTCCTATGCCAAAGTTTTCATTGTATTAAAAAACTTAGTCATTATTTTAGCTAAAAACTCAATCATCAATCAAACAGGTGCTTTTGCTTCATTGTTTCAGCTGAAAATAGGTATTTCACCTGTAACGGAGTCAGTGTTGACACCAAACCTTTATTGCCTCTTATTTCAAATTCTAAGAGAAGGATTCAAAATTTAATGGCATCTATATTCCAAGCCAACATCCAGGATATATTTTTAGTTAAACTTGTTGACAAATACAGTTTGACAAATTCAGAGTGCAGCTGCAAAGTATCACACTGTAACGTTTTTTGATGACACCAAATTGATCTGCCAATATTTAAAATTGGTTGTACTTCTTTGAATTTCACTTTTGGTCTTCTTTAGTCTCTTAATTTAATAAAATCTTCAATAATCACTTAAAATTTAAAATAGTAGACAGTTTCTACAAATATTATAATCAATGGTAAAGTTCACTCTGTAACAGGATTTGCTGACACCAAATGTTACAGAGTGATGGTATTTTTAGCGGGCATGTCAAAATGATACAAAGTTGCCGATGCACGAACGTTGTGTTTATTATTAAGTTTTGGGTTATCATCAATCATTTAGAATTAAAAAGGACCAAATTTATCAATTGAAAGAATGAAAACTGTGCACCATTGGACAAGCTGTAAAAATGTCACGCAATTTTACCTAAAAATGTCATAATTCTGGCTAATTTTTGATCAAAATTATACAAATGCATTGTGGTGATTTAATTTTTTAAGAAAGCTTACTAATTGGGCTATCGTTTTCTGTATTTTGAAGTGCTACATGTAGAACTTCATTTAAGAAATGGTTCTGACATTTGGGTTTCCTTTTTTTACTCACCCCGTATTTTCCGCTACTGATGTGCTTATTTTTCTGTGGCTGATAGTAAATTTATCAATACATGTATAAGGAATTAAACAATTTGTATGCAATTAAAACTATCTTTTGTTGGACGTTTATTTGTTTTTGGAGTTGCAACTTGCAACAAGCACAATTCAATACGTGGGAATTTATACGATTTATTAAATTCTGTTCCATCTGTCACTGTCTGCGAAAGATATATATTTGAAATGATAAAAACCAGCGAGCTGATCAAAAGCGTATTTTAAAAACTTAGCAACTGTAATTATGTCTAACATGAGGTTAAACTTTGTACCGTTCGTGTGGACTGTGCCCTTGAGATAACGAAAGTGCACCAACGAATTCGGGTTTATGATACTGCATGATATACATGCAGCAGGTCTGCGCATTACTTTTGGTTGACTTTTAAGGCAAGAGTTTTGTATGGTTGCGAGGTCATAAAGGTGAGTCGGATCCTTGAAGACTTTCATTTCAATTAAAGGGTGAACGAGTTTCATGGACGTCTAACTCATATATACCTACAGTGAACATTTTCTGTCATGAGAGACGTTAAAGAGTCGTAACTTTGTGGTTCCACTATTTACATCCCCAATATAGCAACGTACGACCCGACTATATAGGGGTGCATACCTATGTTCCACAATACCGATGTTCCCCAATACCGATGTTCCCCAAAATCCCTACCAATATAACCCTAGCCCTAGCCCTAACAAGGGCGGATCCAGGGAGGGGGGCAAAGGGGGCCACCCCCCCCCCCTCCCCCCATACGAAACCATTTTTTTTTTTTTTGTATGTGACATCGCAATAAAGGCAGGCAATGAGTACACCACTATCATTTCCTCAAAAAAACATTGGTTAAAGTGGTCAGAAATTGCCTCATATCGCACCACAGAGCATCTAGAATCCAAATTTTTTTCGGGGCCCTTAAGCGGGCCCCGTACCCCACGCCGTAATTTTGTTGACCCACTTTTTTGGGGGACCCAAATTTTTTTGGCCCCCCCCCAAAAAAAATTGTGTTCTGGATCCGCCCTTGAGCCCTAACCCTTTTCTAAGGATTTGGTGGAACATTGGTAGTGGGGAACATCGGTATTGGGGATCATCGGGAAGATTCCGACTATAGTAGGGGCATTTCCCCAACTGTGGTAACACAGTCATACATACTTCATATACATGTACCTTTGTATTGTATTGTTTTATAAATGGTGACGGATGGGGAACCAGGAGGAAGCCTTTCTTTTGACGGTCACTGAGTTTTTTCATAACTATGTTGTTCTTTTTGAATACCAAAGGCTGGTAAAGTAATAATTGCAGTAGTTAAAAACGGGGGATATGCATTTTTATTTTCCTCATTCATGAAACTTTTTTGCTTTCATCTCCCCTATGTCTTTCAGGATACATCATGAGAGTCAGCTATGCTGCCGATCTACCCATAATAACTCTACCAAATAGCGCCCTCACCGGCGTCCAACTCACCAATGACAAGGACTATGCCAAGTTCACGTCATATGAAGCACGTATCCCGGCCGAGACTACCGTTGCGCTGAGATCCCCAGACAGCGAGCAAAGCGTCCACATCTATTACTGCATTAGCGGGAAGGGGAAATGCGTCGAGGCTGGCGGTCAAAACCAACGGGAGATTTGCCCTGACACTGTGATGGCGCTCTCTTCGGACGTCACCTATGAGTTGAAAGTGTCAGCAGAGGGCGGCATGCGTCTGTTCCTAGTCTACTATCCAGACGCCCAGGTGGTCTACCGATCGCTTGCAGTGGTGCGAAGTCTGTCAGAGGTAGTTGGGACTGACAGGGATATCGACTGGGGAGGCGGCCACAGCCGGCGATATCTCATCAAACAAGATGGCTTCCCTCTGGGTATTCACAACACCTGGGTGTATCCGAAGACATGTTCCCGGATGTGCTATATGAATCACATCGAGGGTGCGTACTACATAGCAGGGAAAGTAACCTACGAGTGGCAGGATACCAGTGGGGATTGGGTTCACGCCACTACGAAAACGGATAGCGCGAACGGCACCAATTACCTCATGAATATGCATGACTGTCACGTGGTCAAAGTCCATGACGAAGAAGCCTTGTGTATCTGTATCTTTGATCCTGTTCTGACAGGGGATGAGATTCACCATCTATCAGAAGGCGGTTTCTCTGGATACAAATCATAGACCTGTAAGCCTTAATACTGATAGCTCATGCTAACTCATACTTTTCTTTACGATGCTTTGGTGTTCAAGTAGAGCAATAATTATTTTGCAGCAACTCTTGAAATCTTATACACGGCCAATATTTTTTTCCGTGTACGATAAAAACGGAACCATCCATCTTATGCTCACTGGATCTCGGCACAAGGTGAAGGGAATTTCTTAGCTTTATTACCATGCTAATACATAGTAGATCCGTGTCGAGGATGGCAAGTGTGAGATCTTTCAGGATTTTTCCTGATTTTAGGATTTTGCCTGATTTCAGGATTACTAGTTCCTGATTTCAGGAACTTTTAAAGAATCCCTTTTGAAATCTGGAATCCCTGAGGTTTTACCGTAAAGGTGATTTTACATGTACCTAAAAAGGCAAATAAAAACGTATACATGGGACCCTCTGCCACCTTCAAACATTCTGCCGAATACCAATTATTTCGTGTGTGTTTTTTCCCTTCATTTTTCCTCAATTTCACCCCTGGGATGGATCGTGGCGCTCGAACGACACACTCAAATTCAATGTTTGTCCATTTATAACTATCAATTTTTAACATTAAAAACTTTCAGAATAGGATAATTTTTTTTGGGGGGGGGGGGTTTGGGGGGCTCACAACAAGCTGGTTTATTCTACTCAAGCTCGTGTTGTAAAAATGAAATCATTTAATAATGATTGACTGAAAATAATTAGCCTAGAACAACAATAATCCCCCTTTGAGAAAAACTTCGATTCCCTTTCGAAAGTGACCCCCACTGAGCAATGGACCCTGATTGGGAGTAAATAAAGGTATGAATCTGGGCCGAAAACCTTTCAGTGTCGCCTGAAATTGTGTCAGGCGGTCGTGACAAAAAGTGGCCTCTAACGATCACAAGACAGTTAAGCGCGCCCTCTCGCAAGGCAGGCAGCGCAGCTGCAACATGGACGCCCCCTGTATTTCAACAAGAAAATTAATGTATAAACTGATTTGGTCAACAACTGCCAAAAAGTTCGAAAAACAATTAAGCTGAACTGTAAACACTGGGACATGCTATGACTGTAAACAGAAGTTTGATTACTCTGGCGCAGGCACAGTTCTTGCCACAGAGACTCTAAAGGAAAAGGGGATCTGTGTGAGTAAAACTTTAGTCAAACCAGGAGTACACATGTTTCATCTTCGTGGAACTTGGCCAGTTTTACAAGCCTGGAAACATGACGCTTTTACTGTGTTGTTCACCTGAACGTTGACCACCCTTAATACTCGCTTGTCGTCAATATAGGTTACATGAGAGAAACAGCCCCCAACGGCCACTAAGACCTTGGTAGTTGAGGTTCTGCCATCATGATGACATTGAATTGAGATGGAGTCAGTCTTTGCTCAAAATGGACACCACCTTGACTGTCAACTGTTCGCAGGTATACATGTATATAGGCAACCGTTCCGTACTGCCGCTCTGAGGCATCACAAAACATGTGCAGGGACCTCTCTGCCATTGTTGTGTAATGATACCACAAGCGGTTGACATACTCCTTCAACACGACTCCCGACCGCTACGCACCCAGGGGAAATAATCTAGACTACATATTAAAAGGTTGCGTCCTCACAGTACAAAATTCGTTCTGAAAAAAATGCTCTGATTGTGTTATAATTGAGCCCCCCCCCCCCAAAAAAAAAATATTGTAATATTCTTTTCTACACGGTCTCAGGAGAACGAATAGCGCAGTACTCGGGACCTATGTATTGATGGACATTTTTGTTTAAGTGAAGTTTCTTGGCTTGCCTTTTAATGGATATAAAACTTGAGCATTTTAAAATAATTATTACTAATACTTTTATTATTATTATTTTTCTTTGAACATCATGATATCTGTCTAGGCTCACAGTCTGGACGGAGAACGAATAGCACAGTATTCGGGACCTCATGTTAAGTGTACCTTCTTGGCTTGTCTTTTAATCGGAATATAAAATTTGAGCATTTTTAAATAATAATTATAAATACTAATTTCTTAATTTAAATATTAATTTTTATGGGTTTTTTTCTTTCAGCATATTGTTGAATATGTCTACGGGCTTTCATTACAGAATCATGACTATAGAACCACCTTAATCGCTTTGACAAAATGGCCGATTGTGGAAATAACAATAAAGATGCCCGGCTAGTGGGACTCATTGTTGTACATGCACCATCTATATGATACATCTTTGCATGTACATGTAAATTAACAGAAAAGCGTCCAACGCTGTCGATTGGCTCAAACATGCATGGCAGTCTCCACGGTGTATATCATTAAAATATATACCGGTATACTGGAAAGATGTTTTCGTCAATTCTGAACTCTGTTCAAACATCATGATTTCAGAACTGACGGAGGCACAGAAAACTGCAATTTTCGCCGTTAAAGGGCAGCTGTGACACATTTTTCACTGCAGGTTTATGTGAAAAGTATTGTTGATCAGCTTTATTGGCCGGTTAAGTTGACGACAGTTTGCCATGTTTTTTTTTATCAATGACTGCATCGGTTTGTGCTGCTAAAGGCGCGATTAAACAAGCTGAATGATGAAAATCTGAAAGTTAAGAGGCACGGTTGTCTATAAGCGAGGGTCTGCTCCACATAAAGTGTATATAGACAAGGTTCAGGCCTCGTCAAGCCCCGATTTTTCAGAATCATAGTCCCAATCTGTTGGTTTGGAACTAGACTAAAGGCCAGCAAGGCTCTTCCTCCGCTGTCGCCTCAAGCTATGCGCCGTGTCGGATAGCGTCTTGGCACGATGGTCCTGCCACGTTAGTTTCTCCCGTAGATCTCGGAGTAGGGTCTCCTCGGTAGGGTAGGGCCGGAGCTGGAGTTAGGAAGCATAAAACATCGTATGATAAAAATAATACACACAGTTGGTTCTCACCAAACCAAACGTGCTTTTTTCAGTTTTAGTGAGATTCGATTTTTGTTAATTTGATTGAAAAATAAATCAATAATTATCGATCTTATTTTAAGACAATGACTGATGTATATTTTCATTGTGTTGCTTCAGAGGCTCTTTTTTTGGGGGGGGGACTGAACACTTTTTAAGAGCCTCGTGATAACCCCCCCCCCCTCCCCCTCCCCCCCCCCAACAACAAAAATGACGCCACTTCTTGTCAAAGTTCTCGCGATAATTCTTGTTCATTGATGAGCGGCAAGGCTAAAAGGAAGGCACACGTGCTAGGAGACACGCCTGGAGCTTACCAGATCTGTAATGGCTTTGAGGTTGGCCTCTGTGGCGTGCTTGGCATAGAACTTCTTAGCGACAAGGATACATTCTGCTCCGTTGCTGACGAGGCAAAGACTAGGCTGCTTGCCGAAGGCCATGTCGGAGACTCCCTGAGGCCAGAAACCGATAAACAAACCCTGAAATCAACTATCAATACAGTGCTTAAGAAGTTAGTTCAGTACTTAAAATCAATATTAGTCAAGTAGAGCAGATGCTTCCTACCAGTTTCTGCTGTAACTGGTGTCAGCAAGTTAACCGTTCGCTGTACCAACCGTCCTATTCAAAATCACTGCTGGCAGCGCCTTTTTCTTTCACATATATTTAATTTTTTTTATCTTGTAATGAGAGAGCTACATTTATCGTCATTAAGGCACTGTGGGTAGCGTAACTCTACGATCATTGCACATATAATGTTTCTGTACATTGCCTACGAATGAAGGTTAACCATGGAACTGAAAACCATGCCATCATCAATAATACTTACGAAAATTGCACCTGGTTCCAATGTGTCTATTTGTACAAAGGTATCTCTCCCTATGCTGGTTGTTTTTGCCAACTGTAAAAAGTAAAATAAGCATCAATAGAGATTACACGTATAACGTTTGTTGAAAACTCACATTATTTGAGATAAAAAGTCAGTCCGCCTCAACATTGCGAATGGATAAGCGTGTTCATTAACAGCGTTTGAAATCGATCATCGGTCGTTCTAACGGTGGTCGATTCAAAGGGCCAGGGGGTGGATGATGGGTAAGATTTTTGTAGAGGGGTGGGGTGGGTGAAGCGTTGCAGTCTGCAGGGAGAAAGAGCAAAGGCATGAAGCAGTGAATTAGGATTTGCAATAATCAGTGATGACGTCATTCGGGTCAGTCATTGTGAACATTCCGGTGTCTTTTGGTACTCATGTAAGCTTTAAGTCGGAGTGGTGGCGGCCTTCTTAGTCAACCCACCACCCCTGGGGTCCGCCCTCCATTACTTAAATTATAAGTTTTTTTCATCAAAATAAATGACAAATAAAGTGATATTTCCATCGTTACCAATTCGTCGGTATCCGAGTCTTCATCCAATTGGATTGTCGGGTTCTGATGGTTTTCAACGTGGGAAGTGTGGCTGCCATCACTGGATTGGCTTGAGGGCGCTCTCACTGTAAGAAAAAGAGCGGTATCACCAGAATTTTACAATATATCTAGAATGGGCAACTAAAAGGTTATAAAAGAATCATCATTTTTGATCGTTCTAACGAAAGTGAATTGTCAAATGGGGCTCGTATAGGCTAAGAGTTTTCCATTCAAAACTCTTCTTATAGTATAATAATTTCAAATCCCTCAGTCAAATGTACAACACATTATCTTATGTTCACTTTAATCATTATAGCGTATACATGACACTCACATTAAAAACAAAAACGGATCGATGTCTTTATTTACTCACTGGAAATCTATCGAGCACTGCTAGGAATGATTCAAAATCCCGGGTAATGTTTAGTTTTACTTAAATTGAAATTCAATTTTATTTAGTTCAATCTTACTTTTCTCCTGATCGACTGTGCGATTCGTCTCTGGGTTCGGCGTCTTCTCCGAGTGTTGTCCTTCGTTGATTCTGGGAAGGCGTTTCGTGTGAGTTAAAAACGGGCCCTGACAAAAAATTCAAAATATGAATCGGGCTACCATTATTGACACTAAAAATTTGACGCTGGGGGGGGGGGGCTATTGAAAACGAACGATGTTAGACACAATCGAACAATAATTGGTGGCGCTATTTGTTTTGGTATACATGTACATGTATTATATGTATGCCGACGCCACGATTTTGTGGACATGAAAACGCTTTTGCCGACCTTAAATTAATAAGTATAGGCTGTGACCCAATGGGGCTTGAGTTTTATGTTTGCGAGATAGACAGGCTCCCTTTTTATTATGTAGCTTTTTCTATAAACCCTCTAAAGGATATCCACCTGGTGTCCCGTTATGTTGACTACAGTCTGAAGTTTTGATTGTCTGAGGGCTTCTTGTCAACATATCTGATGAGCTTTATTTAGGCCTACGAATCTTGCTCTTCAGGAGTTGAAATAAAAGTAAACTGAATTTGAAATCGAAAATCGTTAACTGAATAAGCATTAGGTCAACGGGGATTTCCAACCACCCCCTACAGCGACCCTCTTGGGATTTTTTTTTCATTGAATAGAAAGACATTTTGCGTCAGGGGTAATGTTAGTGCAGAATAAAGCTAAGAGTAGTCCCATTCCAGGCATATAGACTTTCACAAGTCAGCAATATTAATTTGGAAGCGAGGTAAACTTTTGATTTTTGGGAAGTTGCGAGTAGAAATAAAAGCAATGATTATAATGTAAATTAATACCAGTCTGCTCTGAAGAATAATTTGAAATTTGTTATTAAACATAATTCTAATACCCTTATGTTCAGCCACAATTCAAAACAAAAATTGAAAGTGAGGCTTGCCACACGCACTCCAATCATAAAATAGTCTGGTACCATCCCAATCAACAGTTTACAGTTTACGAAACGGATTAAGGAACACGATTGAAAACAGCCTACTCGTAAATAAGGTCTATTTCAACCTCGTCCCCAGTGCTTACTTTATTTCCAACGATGTTTCCAATAGTAGACCCTGGATAGGAAACTTTCTTCCTGTATCCTGATTGGATACCGGCAATTGGCTAGTAGTGGATTTTTATCGTGTACTTGGTGCTATTATTCACAACGTGCAGTACGTGTTTTCGCGATCATTCGTCCACGCCTTCTCGAAAATACTAATTTCCTTTCCAATTTGCTCATATTAATATGAAATATGATACTGCATGTTGTCTCGATAAGATCGTAACAGTTTGATTTCAAAAATCGTGTTTTCGTAACTCACGCCGTGCTCGCGCTGCTACGAATTGACTCTTTTTTTACCCCAGACTCCGCATACAAAAACAAACGCTAATGTGTAACGCATATCCAGGCACCAGACTGTTCCTCATTTGCATACGTGTACAAAAATCTTGCACATGCAAATGATCCAATACTAGGGTGAGAGAGCAGGTAGTGGTGGGCGCGTACTGCTCGACACCCTGGGGACGAGGTTGGGTCTATTTAGCTATAACGATGGTCTATATAGCTATAACGAATATAGCTATAACGAAGGCCTGATGGTTAATAGGAAAAGTGCGGTTGCACGTGAAGTAACAACAAGTTTCCGGGTATGTACAATTCGATTTGTAGTTGAGGAGTGATCAAGCAATAAATAAACAAAACACGCAGCAATGAGATATGCTGAATTTAATTCCTTAAAACATGCATAAATGGCGACAGATTCCCATGACATGGTACCGTAATTTTCACATTCCCCAACGATTTTGAGCATGACAACATAATACCTTCATTATGTGCCCATACAGCTGGCTTATGCGGTTTAATTTTTTAAAAGATATACATGTACACATTTGACCTCCGGAAATATTTCAAAATGACGAAAAGTTACGTCCTGGAGGCGCCGTCCTTCCAATCAAACTCTTGAAAATAAAGCAATACAAAAATCCAAGCAGCTAATTTTATTTTTTTATGTAAACAGAAATCATATACTTCCGTCCCCTTATATAATTGTGGATTATGTCCCTCGTGTGTTTGACCTTGACGCCTCTGTTCAGGTATAGTAAACAGAATTGAATCGAAAATCGAACTGAATATGCATTGCGTCAACGGGGATTCCCAAAATTACTCCCCGTCGCTCTTCGTGCGAGGTTTTGATATTATTTTAATCAAAGTCCATCCTAAATTACTTTGGCCTTTAAAAAATACAGCATGAACAGTCCACACAACATGTATTTGGAGTGAAGAATTGTGGCCAGCGATCGGGTGAAATTTCGCTTCAAAAATGTTAGAAGGGAACAGAATCTGAAACCATGCAGTACTAATCGCCGGCCTACGTTGCGTAGATATCAGACAGCTGCGCCTCTATCGCATTTCTCAATCCCTCGACATCGTAGAAAGGTAGGTCCTCTCGAAGTTGTACCAACTCAGCAGCGTAAATTTCTTCTTGTGCATATGAGATGTCGAAATCGAGAGATCCAGTCAGGATGAATCGCCACAAGTGGCGAAAGCTGGCGGCATCTTTGTTGATCTCGAACCGCACCTTCGTGCTTGCATCGTCGACCATGCCACCAAGGTGCGACTTGACAAACTGCTCGTTCTTCATCAAGGTTGAACGGAGCTCCGTGAAGCATTCCCCGCCTACAACGAAGTGAATCCTCGCAACCTCGGCACCAGCCCGGTACTTCTTCACAGCTTCGGTCAGTTGCCTGTTCTGGTAGAACTCGGCCTCTGATTCCAGCAGGTCCATGTCTTTGAAATCCTTGGGTAGGTCCAGCCGACCGCCATGGCGCATGAAGCCCAGCACGTAGCGGAAGAGAGGCCCATCAGCGTCGACCAGAAAGTTCCCGGCTTTGTCCTTCTCGCATTTCTTCTGGAAGTTGCCGCTGAACATGCGGCCCAACGTGGAGTCCACGTTGCTTCGCAGCGTGCCCAGGGTGGTGAAGTAAACCAGACCGCCAACATTCAGGCCGATGAATCGGGATTGTCCGCAGTCCGCCATGACTCGGAATCGTCAGTTATGATTTTTATTTCTATCAGCCCACAGTGCAAGACCAGTGTGCAGTGGACCAGCCAAAGTACAATGTTAGACTTCGGATGGCACACCACTATGGGATGGGAAAACTCATTATGGATGAGGCAGTTTTTCCTTGTCAACTTCCTGGTTGAGAGGAAACTGGCTTGTTCACTGTGCCACAAAATATCCGGCACGCGCATCATCGGGTTTTAGTCCGGACACTACGTCAAAAAAAAGGGGGGGGGCGGCTGGTACCCATAGTCCAAATGGGGGGTGATCTTCAAAACATTATTTTGCGTACTGGAAAATGTATACCGATTTTCAAGGCGCATTGTGAACGGTTGCATTAACAGAGACGCCAAAAATGCCACACTTTTGGACCCCAAATTTATAGAATGACCCACTGACTCGGAGTCGGAAGTACAAGTACTCGTACTCGGAGACCTGTACTTGTACTCGGAAAAAAAGTATCGTACTCGGCAACCTAAGTACTCGGCAGTACTCGGTACTCGGGAACAAAATCTCGACTGCAACACTGGAAACAGTTAAGAAAATACTGACATTCAAAGCTCTGTACTTTTGCCATCAGAAACGTTAATTTATAAACTCTCTACCTCTAATTTTCATTTCAGCAGCGTCAACTGTGAAAAAGGCTGCGCCTGTGCAAGAGAGAGTGAGACTTTCAATGCGTTCAAAATACTTAGCAGAACTTTCATTATTGATGTGAAGTAACGTAACGTGCCCAATAAGTGCGACAGCAGTGTTGCCTACAAAAGTTTAATTTCCTACTTAAAGTTGGAGTTTTGTGAGTTAGGATCCGGACCAGTTTTTTTGTTATGTAAACGCCTATAAATGATATAGGCAGACCTTGTGTGGCAATAGACTCTCAATGATTAGGAAGCCGTTGGTAGTTTACCAAAATGCAGTGCAGATACAGATAAGTAAACGGAATCGGTCTTACCCGAGAAAATGTAGACAATCCAGGCCTCTCCTCAACGACCATTTCACGGTCCTCGGTAGCCTCTCCCTCAGCCGACGACTGCGGCGACTCCGAGCCGTGCTCCGTGGAAGCATCGGGTACTTGCGACGAAGAGCTAGTGGGACGACTTGGATCGGAGACCACGATGTCAGGCAGAACCTCACGCCCGCTCATTACGTTCAGATGTGATGACGATCCGTGATTCACGGTGGAAAGTGATGCGTGGTCTGCCGGCTCCGTGGTGGACAACGGGTCGGCTCTCATGGGGACCCGCACGATGTTCTTGGGCCGTGTGTCCTTGAAGCGCCGGGACCGCCCCTTGAGAGCTCTGGCACGTTTTCTCTGCATGTCTCGGAGTTTGTTGGCTAGTTGCTCTTCGTGACTTACCGAAAAGGATGCTGCTGCTCGCGGTGCAATTGCTAAGCAGAAAATGAGGAGACAACATTGATAGAGAAATACGAAAAATTAGGAAAAGATGTCTCATTTGTTTTTTTTTCTTGGAAAAGGTTTCAAGGAAGCGAAAAATCATATGGGCCTATGCCATTATAGGGATTATTTTAATATAACAAAGTTTGGAGAGTGTATATAGCCTATAGTGTTTAGGGTTTGTGAGTCATTCAGGGGTTCGAATCCAGCTGCTGGCCACATGCTGTATCCTTGGGCAAGCCACTTCACCCCCCACTTGCCTCTCTCCACCCAGGAGTAAAAATGAGTACCGGCATTAGCTGGGAATAACCTGCGGTATGGACTAGCATCCAAGGGGATTAGAAGTAACAGTTTCATGCCTCGGAAACCGGAGATAAACCCTGGCTTGATGGGCCACATTGGCTCGTATTAAACAGGCTTTACTATTCACTTAAAAAAACAACCAAGTACTGTGAACTTACATGGCAGATTTCGTTTCCTTTTAGCAGGTACTGGCTCCTCATAGTGAAGTTTCTTCATAACAGCACAGCTACCCTATTTGGAAATACATTTAGAACAATCTGCTTTATTACAAAACCAACGTTGTCTTATATAGGCCTAGGTCTACTTGAACTTTACGCTTAAGTAATGTTATATTGCAAGGTTTTGTTTGTAAAAAAAATTCTGAATTAAGTTTTGTCCGTAAATCTTGGTTTTTTTTATGTGTTTATTTGAACTAAACACTATACATAAAAACAATACATAAGCCATTATTTTCTAATTACGTTTGAATTAAAAACAAAAACAACCAATTAATTAAATTGCAAAGAGGGATTAAAAAATAACTTTGCCGACGATTTTTTTTTCAACTTAACTCTTTTAGCAATATTATTAATACACCTGCAGGTATACACACATATTGTAGAACAAATGTGTATATGACTTACGGATTTGAGGACGTAAATCCAGTCGCTTTTGTTGCTGTCCTGTTCGATAACGGTTCCTCTCCTGTTTGGGAAACCAGAACATGCAGGACACGTTACTGGTGTGACGTCTAAGCAAACCTTCGAAATTCCATGTCATGTCACAGGCTGAAGGCTCATCCTGTTTTTATGTTCGTTTTTTTGTTTAAGAAGTACTTGTATATTTGTTTTTAAATATTGTTTGAGTATCCTTTATGTGTTCTTGTTTTACTTGAATCTTCTCAAACGTCTTAATTTTTTTAAGGGATATATGTTTGTTTGATATTTTATACTTTTTTGTTTGATTGTTTTTTGTCCGTACTGAAGTCCCGTATTGTTGCTTGTTTTTCTTTTATCTTTTGTGCATATCATTTCAAGCCTTCGATTTTGTAAAAGTCATATTATTAGTTTATTTTAATGCAGGGCCCTAATGAAAACCAGCTTTTTGCTGTTTGGGTTTACCCTGGATAAATAAAGGTATAAATAAATAAATAAATAAATAAATAAATCCTGAAAAGTTGTGTTTCCTGAACTTGAAATCTAGACTGTTTTTGAACTTGATATTCGCTAGAAGGCAAGTTTACTGGTTAATTACCAGGAAAAATCAAAGGGGCAAAGTTACATGACCTATGACCTCGATTTAAAAAGAAATGTACCATATTTGGACAAACTCTCTGCTAATTTTGTCTGAAAATTATGGGATAAGTAGAGGTACGACATATTATATGGAGATACGGAATGCAATTGTTCCCGGTTATTATCCAGGTTATTCGCTTATAAAGCGAACATCAAGTGAAAACAAGGTATATACTTCAAATTCAGGACACTGTTAACTTTTCAGAAAATTGTGCATGCATTGGTTTAGGCCTATTATGTGGCTCACAATACGGAGAAAGTCAAGTATTTGATCTACATTTATGGGGCTACGTCAAATAGTGCTGAACGAGATAATGGTGTACATCAGTTCCTTTATGATTTTATTTATGATCAATATTATTAAAGTTTTAAAATTTCAGACATATTATGTACCGGTATAACTCCGGAAGGCACGATTAGCTGCAAATAAATTCAACTTTACAGGAGCGTGACCAAAAGCCAAGCATTATTCGGTCTTTGAGTTCTTTTCTTTACCTGTCCTCTTGAATGCAAGCCTGGGGTATTTGGTGAATTATGAAAGGATCGAGAAAAAAAAATTTTAAACCACCTCCGAAACATTCTCCCAACAAAAAAATGTAAAATGTTGTACAATAATTGCGTAGTACATCCAAAGGTTCAATCACCCAAACTCACGTGAAGAAATTGAATCGGCACTTTTTGGGATGTTTCTTGAGGAGATGCAAGGGCCAGCCCTTGAAGATGCTGACCGACTCGATGAAACTACTGCCGTCCACTCCGCTGATGTTACTCACACCCCCTGCCAGGAAAATTCGGGAGTACTCCTTTTCCCATGGTAAAAAAAAAACATTCGACAAAAGACACAAGTTAGCTAAAATTCACTTATAATCTGTTATTGGCACATAACAGTTCGTTTGATCCAGAACAACACAATGGGCAAATGAAGTGAACGATTCGTGTTCTTATTCTTAGCATACACAGAGAAAAATATATAATGATAGGCCTACTGAGAAATTCAATTTGTTGATCTGTCATGACTTTCACTGCGTATTATATCTGACCAAAAAAAAATACCGAATAGGCATCTCAACATTATGTTTTAGGCTACATAAAACATTTCTTTGAAATAAACCTCGATTCTTAGGGATAACTGCAATTACCGCCGTTGATTTAATAAAATACTGTTACAATTATTTACCATGTCCATTGTGAAACACATTAATAATAAGCGATAATCATGTTTTAAATTTGGAACTTAAATATTATGACTCATTTAAATATAAATTTGAAATAATATCGAAATTAAAAAAACAAAAAATTAAAAAATGGTGTGTGGGCGAACAATTCTTATGAGCATTATCTTTACGAAACATATGACCATCAACATTTCTATTCGGCACTAAATGTTGAAACTGTATTCTTGCAAAAACAGAAAACCAAGATACGAACAGTCGAACACACTAAAAGTAAAATCATACCTTGACAGTGAGGCTTAACAGTTGGATGTACTCTTTGGAAATGACGGTGACATTGTGACGACCTCTGCTTATTATTGCTTCATGCTGAAAATAAAAATTAATTAAAAAGCACATTCACAAAGAACAGTAAATTCATAACCTCTCTATTTTCAAAGTTATAAGCATAACATTCACAATTGTGCCCTATTTCGGAGATGTCGACTGGTCCGAAAGTTTTAAAGGGAGACTGGGAGTACGTTTTCTGATTGGTTAAACCTATCACGTGATAAACCTACCCCGAATACTTGTCCTTTCGCCAAGGCGGTGGCCGGCCGACCACTGTTTTCTGGATCGCCTTCAAGAAGTACGGCTAAAGGAGAAATAAAAAAAAAATCACAACTTGATATAAAAATGTGACGTCTTCCAAATTGATACGTCAAATAACCAGTGTTGAACATTTTCTGCACTGGAATCCGTGGCTACAGTACGTAAAACTATCGTTTAAAACTTATGGAATTCTAAACTTTTAGACACACTTTTATGGCCAACGTACTAGATTCGACATACTAACTTATGAGAGTGCACATACACTGATGCCCGCTCCCAAAAGGCGGCACTCTAACAGTACAGTACACCACTTTATGTTAAAATTTAAGCCTTTCAGTTAAAATGCTTTTTTAAATATTAGATTTACACAATAATCCGTGAGATGACTGACGGAAAACCGTACCTGAGCCTCCAAGTACGAGATAGAACGCATAAGGTCGGCGACCGTGTCGGATGATGACGCGGCCCGTCTCATAGCTCTCAAACGCCCCTGCCCGGATCAGGCTGCGCTGCATGTGTACCGGGTACTTGGTGATGAACTCCATCTGCTGAAGCTCAACTTGAACCTGAAAAGTGGAAGAAACTTTTTGTTTTAGATAAATGTGTATACAATGACGTGACTTAAACAGCATGTGTGTGTA